CATTGGAATCCTATAAATTAATAGCCATTTTGTTTTTAAATGCATAACAAAACGATGTTCCACTGATCATTAAGTATGGTTATGGTTTTAGTGAAAATATTTAAGATGGGGTCTCTAAATGGTAGTTTCAAAATGGTTGATAATATCATGTTGATGGATTCAGTTAAGGGGCCACTAAAACACCAGTGCAAGGCTCTGTCTTGCACATGCTGAACTGGTCCCATTTCATGGCAGACTTGGAACAAGAATATGTATCCATCAGTATCAAGACAAACGGCGAAGTGTCACCGATTCATGGTAGACGTTCCACCCACACCGCTTCGCTTCAAGCTTCCTTTTGCGTACTGCTAAAGGGATATAACCTGTGAGTCTTCAAGGCCCGAGTGAATAGGTTGCTTATGGGACGACGTGCTCCATCGTAGACCGCATCATGGCTTACTACTAGGCGAGATAGTGGTCAAACGTCGGCCTATCAAATATAAAAAAGAAAAAAGTACCTACTAATAGAACGACACAGCTGTACATGACACTTGTTTTTTAGGGTATATTTTTTTTCATAGAAGACTTATTTGTTGTTGCCCCAAAGGGTTGATATGCTGCGGAACAATCTGGAGCAATTTTGCAGCGTCGTCATCACACCAACGCAACCGACAAACTACGTAGTATTTTTCTCTTTTGCTCTTTAAACAAAATCGACCAGTGAGTACTTACTCCAATTTTAGTTAATTGAAACACAAGTAATTAGCTTTGAGCCATCAGATTCGATAATTAAGTAAGTAATTACCAGTCTTTTATTACAGACAATATTTCTTTCGAAGTAAGGATGCCTCTACTAAATGGACATGAAGTTAATTATTGATATAATACATAACATAACATCACGCGTTTTATTCTCGAAGGGGTAGACAGCAGTGCACATTACGGCACGTAATGTCACTGTACAATGTAACACCCACTTTTCACTATTTATATTACGAGTCCCATGTAATAAGGGGTGAGCCTGTTGCCATATAACGGGCACAATTCCAGACTCCGTGCTACTACTGAGAATTTTTAAAAACCCAGTAATACTCTGCCCGATCCGGGAATCCAACCCGAGACCCCTTGCACGGCTGTCGCACTTGCGACCACTCAGCCAATGAGGCAGCTATTTATATATAACCCGGCTTTTTTATTAAAACATATTTCCTATGGCTACTCTTTCCATGAGCCAGATTCCAGAAACAAAAACCGTACAGAAGCGGTCTCCGATAAACCTGAACTGCGATGTCTAACCCGCTTGACAAGCGTAGATTATGACAATCCCTTCTAATTTAGAGGAGCTCAATATTCTAGCAGTGAACCGACATAATCTGTTGCTATTATGATATATGTATATTGCAAATTGCAGTCACATGTTGCAGCAAAATAGTGCCCATTTACAAACACCTTAAGAAACATTTGAGTTGAATTAGCCGAACCAATTATGCGTCTAGACTGGCATAAAAACAGGCATGCCTGACTCGGTTGGAGTCCAATAACAAGTAATTTTCTCATTGACTCTTAATGAATAAACTAAATACGTCCAAACTGAAGCTGAAAAGGATTTTATCTAGAGTTTATGAGCCATAGAGTTTAGTCTCTGAATGTAGGTACTGTGAATATGGTAGCTTGATCTTTTATTCCATGAAGAAGTAGACAGAAATACACAACAATTAGGGCCTGTTTCACGAAGTGTGATTAGGATTCTGTTAGTATGATCTACTACATATTACTTTATTGTTGAATAAGAGGGAAAAATATTAGATAGTTTGTGCCTTATTCCGACTTGTGAATCAAACCAGAATCTCGACTGCCTATTAATAGATGAAATTCTATTTTCTTATTACGCTAATTGTAATTGACTTGATTAAGCTACGAATTATGACACGCCTACAAATTAGACAAGTTTTATTACGCATACGCACAGCTGATTATTAAAGTTTGTCTAATAAGAGTAGAGAGCAAGTCTCATCTAAACACAGCATCAACACTATTGATAAACATTCTATAAATATCACTACATAATTCAAAGTAAAAATAGATACCTACTTCACTTCCTAAGAGGACATTAAGATATTCTTAAATGATAATTATTCAGCTGTGCGTATGTGTAATAACTTCCCACTTGTGTAATTCTGTAGTATAATAATGATTTGATTATTTTGAATGTTTATAGCACAGTTGTGAATTAGTAGTTTCACTATCCAGCGCTTTAGACAAAGAGATAGGAAAGGCAAGTAAAATGCGTTAGGCGACATTTGGACCAAATAGGTACTTATTTGGTATATGTTCAGTGACATAGGTAAGTTTACCGTTCGGGGCCCGTGGTAAATTCATCGGATAAACCCCCATTGACAATAAAATAGAGAAGTTCATAATGAAAACCTCGGGACGGGACTCTTTCCAGCTGGGGGCTCGTCGTGGCATATTGCCGACTTGCCACCATGTAGTCACTGTATGCGTTCTAGTTGTATATTTGTTATTTCACCCCTCTTGAGTGGACCACTGTTTACGATACAGCGTGTATATTATATTAAACTAGCGACCCGCCCTGGCTTCGCACAGGTGCAATATGCATGTATTGTACATATTTTTTTATTTTTTTTTAAGGGGGGAAAATCATCGAATGACTGCTCCCGCCTGGGTGAGGCGGAAGGGAGTGTCAGACTCTTACTGACTAAAAACCACCCCGTTCCTTCTCCTGCACGTCGAGCCGTAGCCCCGGTTACCCGTTAGGTTCTCCGCGACATGTATTGTACATATAAACCTTCCTTAAGAATCACTCTATCTATTAAAAAAACCGCATCAAAATCCGTTGCGTAGTTTTAAAGATAGATAGCGACTTTGTTTTATACTATGTAGTGACTAAATAATAGATATAATTAAGAATATAATAAATGGGTTTAACATAATTCTTCACCTTCACATTTTGTAAAGGAATGCATACTCTATGTAAATCTTACATAAATTATAATTACTAATTTGTAATACATACCTACTTGCAAATGACTTCATAATGCAGACAATTAAACAAGTGTTTCATAATTATTAGCTCATATTATTATTGTAGCATATTGCATATATATATTGCATTACTGAGTAAATACCCCAAATTGTTATATTTTTACAAGATAATGTTATATCTAAAGTAAATAGTATGTATATACTTTACTTCTTCAAATATTTACTAGTGGTATTTGACATAACCAGAATTTGTTGGACGAATATTGTACTATTGGCTTTATATTTGCAACTGCAACTGCCAAGGGTTCTCAGGTGAGAGTGTGGAATTCAAAATCATAATATCAATTTGTTAACTTGTACAGTTATGAATATTATTAAACATAACAACATAACATCACGCCTTTTAACCCCGAAGGGGTAGGACGTAGGTACAGGTGTATGTTACGGCACTTAAATTCCACTGTACAATGTAACAACCACTTTTCGCTACTCATGTTATGAGTCCCATTGATAGAAGGGGATGAGCCTAATGCCATATACCGGGCACAATTCCAGACCTCGTGCTAATGCTGAGAATTTTTTTAAAAGCCCAGTAATACTGCCCTGCATTAGCATTTGCAAAGATTCGGCTAACGAGGCAGTCATCTCTAAAAATATCATTAAAATATGGTTCAATTGTTAATAACAACAAAAACAGGAATATCTTTTGACAATAGGAAAAATACTATACCCATGTCAGGTAAACAATTAAAATCACAATCAGTATTTAAAATAAGTCTGTTAAAAAAATTTAGACAAGTTGTGACATGTTTGAATTGAAATTCTAAACTAAATCCAGTCAATGATGTAATTCTTAACAGTCCTGTTCTTAAATTCTTATCTCAAGTTACTTAAGGTCAATGCAATATGTTATACTCTTGTTCCGGTATATTTGTAATAAATAATTACGTGAACCTCATATTTTACTACTTTTTTCGAAGTGAATGTTATAATAGAAGACAGAAGTCTTAGTGCAAGTTTGTTTAACGTTTCATCATCATCATCATCAACAGCTTATAAATGCCCACTGCCAAACAAAGCCTCTTCTCACATGGAGAAGGTTAGAGCAATAATCACCACGCTTGCTCAATGCGGGTTGGCGATTTCAAACTTATAATTAGAAATTATAAGCCCAGGTTTCCTCACGATGTTTTCCTTCACCGTTGGTCAGTGGTGTCTAAATAATCTTAGAAAGTACATTTAACTCGGAAAAAGTCACATTGGTACTTGCCGTTGGTAAGTTTCGAACCTGCACCCTGGTGCATGAGAAGCGGGTGTCTTCAACCTCCGGGCCACCACGACACTGTTTAACGTTTAAAGTAATCGAATAGACCGCGTTTGGCGCACATTGGAGCCGGCCAATCAGACAGCCGAACGCGATCTCGTTTCGATTTTAAACGTAAAACAAACTCGTACTAAGGCCTCTGATTGGCCGGCTCCAATGGACCAACCAATCGGAGCGCTAAACGCGGTATCTTTTACATTTTTTAAAAGGCCTCTGTTTCTTAAGTAATAAGTTACAGGTTAATTATATAATACCGTACCTACTCAATACCTATGACTATAATAACCATTTATAACTTAATAAATAAATTATTATTGAAATAATTAAAAAGTTGAAGTTATGATGAATTATTGTCTGTAGACAACAAACATTTAACATTTTAATTGAAAACCAGCCTTGAGAAGTTCAGCATTATTATAATTTACAACCTGAACCCGCAATTTATTAACAAATAAAAGTAGCCAATGTTACTTCTTAGTACATTAGCTAGCTGCCAATAAAAGTCCCGGCGAAATCGGTCCAGCCAATTCAGAGATTAGCTAATACAAACAAACAGACAGACAGACAGACATTCTTATTTAGGTATATGTATATTTATATGCATGCAGTAAAATGTGGTTATTTCAATATTACAAACAGACACTCCACTTTTATTTATCTCTATTGATGTATAGGTAATCAAAGCACTTACTTTTGAGTATATTGTCGAGCACAGTATATAGGGTTTTCTCCAACTTAAGGTATTCACTGTCCTCATTGACTGGCCAGTCGCAGGATAAGTTCCAGTCCACAATGTCAACATTCTGGCCCGAGTCATTGGGGACTGTGTACAACCTGGGAATGAAGAGAAACATGTTGTTAACCAGTTGTATGTTAGAATATGAATGAAACGAGACATAATGTATTTTGTATAGTGTCTCATAGGATGGCAGACAAGCAGTTAAAACTGTTAAATTTAATAACATAATATGACGCCTTTCATGCCTGAAGGGCTTAGGCAGAGTCCCATGTAATAGGGGCTTGTTTGTTTAACTTAATAGTAATGCAATAAGACACTTAAGCCAAATATGGTGACACCTAATTAGAAAAACAAGTTATATTGAACATCACTGTCTAAGATATGGTGTTTTTGTAGTATGTATATCTTATTGTCAGTAGAAAAACAAAACAATGGGTATCCTTATGAAAAACTTCTTCTTGCTTGTAAGAAAAACTTCTTGAATGCAAAGAATAAGCATTCTTTATTAATTCATATTGAGAATACCCAAAATTTGTTCATACAAAAGTAATCTCTAAACATCGGAAATAAGGTCTACAATGGATTTAGTGGACAATGGTAACCCGTGACCGTTTGGGGATTAAACAGTTAAATTAGTTAAAATATATTTTAAGTAACATTATTCTACAGAAGTACAGTTACTCATCAATCACATATTGGTAAGGACATAGAATTGTATTTTCTGAATAGTTTATTTAGATAACAACTCTATGATAGAGAAAGAAAATTAAAAACATAGCATACTTGTCTTTAACTTAAAGCACAGTTTTTATACTACATATATTTCCTATAGTTCATAGGTTCTGATAACTAGATGTTATCATAAAACTTATCATAACAATTAAAGTGCAATATTATTATGTCAATTGGGCTTGTACTCTAACAAACAATCTTATCAATTTCGATAATTTACCAGCAAGTACTTGAAATAAATTATGTTTATTACGCAAATGTAGAATTAAATTATCAATATAGGAAACTTTTTTTTGTATGGGGGAAATTCTTTGAATGGCTCCAGCCTTAGTGTCAGACTCTTACTGGCTAAAAACCACCCCGTTCCTACTCTTGTCCTTTGACAAGAGGCTTTGGGTTTGTTATCCAATTAACTAATACTCCAATTATTTAGAGCAGGGTTTTCCAAAATGTTCTCTGACCACTTATCATCATTATTCTTAGGTTAAGAACACTTTACTATTACTTTCAAGTTGTCCAGACCAATTTTCTCCAGAGTCATAAGGCTTGTACTGATAGAAATAGTTTGATTATTAAAATCTGTTGATCCTTTCAGTTATCTCCTTTGACATAACTTTTATTTGAGCTTTAAACATCATTTTTATTGGAAACACAAGACAACATCTCTGTCTGGTGTTTTTTTTTTAATTTTGAGGGCAATATTTCGTCTTCTGCAGACCACAGGGTGGGAACCATTTTCTAAATCAGAAAATATGCACTTAATATGGATGGAATAAAGATTAAAAAAGTTAATAAGATCAAAACAAGTTACACCATACTCCATGAAATTATTCTGGATCCTAGATCTGGTTAAGACTCTATTTGGAAAAAGCAAGAACAGAAGTTATTAAAGTAAACAATTAATTTCTATCAATTGTTAAACCGATTAGATTTTATTGAAGGTACATTGATAAAATTATTTAGATTGTTAGACAACAAAAACAATAATATGGTAACACTGATTTAGAATAATTTACATACACTCACACTTAGTCTCATTGGGGTAACCGAAAACCACATAATGAAATCCTATATGATGCATAACATACTTCTTTAGATCCTTCACATTCATGTGATTATTCAAATTTGTTATAGTCATGTTAAGAAATGAAAGATAGGCCCAATCAATAATAATATTCATAACACAGATTAAATATTTTTGTTTGTTTTTGTCAAATTACTCACACCAACTGTTTCAGTGTAGGTGTGGTAGTGTTCAGTGTGTGGGTTTCAAACATTACATGAATAATGCCTTCACAAAATCAAGTCTCTGATGTCATAATATAAAAGCAGACACCTTTTACCTTTCATCAGGTAAAGTGAACAGGCCAAAACAAAATAAAAACAGTCGGAATTCAAAGGTGAACCATATTGGAAAATGTGGAGGCAATGTGTGCAAGATGGTTATGTTAAAATACTGGTTGGAGTGGTTATACTGGAAATAAATAACTTGACGAGTAATTGGAACAGGCTGAATAACCATCGATACACAAACGGTGCACTGACATGTCGACCGGACGAGACATTCATGACCCCGTACTTTTTTCACTCATACAAACTCACAGACCACAATTCTCCTACTTTAATACTCTTTAATGGTACTCACCACGTCTGATCATCGGAATAATCCAAAGATTCCACGTCGATCAGATCAGAATCAAACATATCTTTGTTTATATTTTGATCAACCTGATTCATAATACCAATAATAACGAGACATCAATTTGGCACTTTAAACAAATCACATATAAATTTCACGCAAGAACTACATTTACTACAAGGGATACTGTAAATATTTATTAAGAAAAAAGATATAATAAGAACCAACACGAAATTGTCCCAGACAAGTTTTAGTTTGGAATTTGACATATCACCATAAAGCAAATGCCAAAAAAAGGATGAAGAAATGAAAGAAGTCAACGGTAAAATTCATAGAGTAAAGAGGTACTGCAAAGAATTCGTAAATTAATTTCTATTTTATACTTAATAAATCGTTTTATTTAAATAATCTGACTGAGTTTATTGGGAATTTTTTTTGATGATTTTGATTTTCAAAGTTTGTTTGCAGTAAACCACAGACACCAAGTTTTGAGTTTCTTCTAGTCTATGGTTACAAATGTGACAATGCTAAAAATAATGAAGTAGAAAAAGCAAATTGGATTAAAATACGTTTTTAATTTGAGTTTTATAGTCTTAGTAAAAAGCTGAAAGCGAAAGCAGCAGTGGGCATCTTCCAGTCACGGTTATGCTTACGAATGACTAATGATCATGTCGATTTAAAGAATCTGTAATTACATTCGTATTTTCTATATGTACGCGTCGAACCAGTCCGACAGACTATAATAATTATTTATTCAATCAATTTTATTTATTTGGCATGTCCAGTTGTTATAAGACTTTAAGTATTATTTATTTATCTCCTAACAAAAGAAATACTATTTTACTAAGTAAAACCAGGGACCATTGTACTGAAATGTGGCAACATTAATTTTGACAGTGACGTTTGACATTCACATAGACAATTTTCTTCTTTCCTTTTGTCTACGGACACGTTGTGAGCACGTTGTAATCGGTGTAGTTTTAAGAATAAAACTGCAAAATGTCGTCCCATCTTAACTGGATGATCATCCGCAACAACAACGCCTTCTTGGTGAAGAAGCGTAACATCAAGAAGCCGTTCAGCAAGGAGCCCAACAATGTGACTAACCTCAACTCATACAGATACAACGGTCTGATCCAGAAGAAGGCTGTTGGCGTCGTCGAGAATCCCGACAGGAAAGGTTTCACAGTTGTATACAAGAAGGCTAAGGCGACAAACAAGCCCGCCAAGAACGCAGTCCGCCGTCAGTTCAAAGCCGGCGCGAGGAGATCGCTGTACAAGGTAAAGAGGTTGTTGAAAGCCAACCACTACCGCACTGACCTCTCCAAGGCTACCCTCCGTCGTGCATCTGCCATCCTTCGTTCACAGAGGCCCATCAAGGCAAAGAAGCCTAAAGCTGCGGCCGCTAAGACCGAATAAGTTAATGTAAGCTGACAATAAAAAAATTTAAAACCCTAGTTCATCTTCTTATTTCAAACATCCTTCTAATGAGTAATAAGTTCTATCAGTATGTAGAATGTACTGAAGTGTATACCTAATTTGTTTACTTCTCATTAGTCCTAACTTGTGTTTATGTGACATGTGTTAGGTTATGTTTATTACTATGAAATGTTAGTGCAGCATTACTTGCTATATGACAATATCTGTGCATTTAACTCGTCGAGTACCGGTTTTATAGACACAATTAAAGAACAATAGGTCGCGGTCACCGGTGACCGCTTGGTGTTTGACAGATTAATTCAGCTTACTTCTAAAATAATAGTCATATTTAGAACTGTAGAGTCCTAAATATTTCAGCATTTGTGTAACTTACTATTCATATCAATATTTAGTTTCACTTCACTCGGTTCAAGTAAAAAGGCAATCTTCGTTTGAAGACAAAATATTTACATGTAAATCTAAGTCTTTAAAAGTAAACTTGTTGTTCTTAGTATTCAACATTGTCTCAAATTACACTAACTTGTGCAATTTGTTGATCTCATCTCACTTCAGCCGAAATCAGGTCCACTTGAAAAACTTTATTTTTACAAGTTAAAACCTTCCCTACTGATGTTCACTGAGGTCAAACACATTGTAGATGGGACTTGGAAAAATAAAATAAAACATTGTTGCACCAATACAATTTATTGATAACAAAATCATGATTGTATCACAAACAAGGAATGTTCAAACTTGTTCTCGTAACACTGGTTTACAATAAGTCACACATGATCATCTATGGTACCAATAAATGATATCAAAGTTAAATTACGATCAGACATCAAATGCAGTGCTTTTCTAAACACAAACATTACAATGAGGGCCACCGGTATTTAGTTCACCAGATGGAGCCTGTGTAGCATGAGACCTTATCCAATCATTGTAGTTGACGTCTTTGTCTAGCCTATGAGTAATTGGGGAAGGCTTAAGTTCAGCAGTGAACGTCTTGTGGATCAGCGATTATTATCCAATGATTGCACCAAATAGTTTATAAAACAAGAGATCTCTTACTACACAAGCGATCCTGGAGATAAACTTGGGTAACCCTCATTCATAGCTTACAAATAATTACGTTCAATATTTCAGTTTCATATCGCTATTTACAATAGATAGGTATCACAAATATTTCATACATCAAAAAATGTAAAGAATAATTTATTACATCACTTCATTTAATTCACATTGCAATACAATACTAGACATTACATGATTGGGTGGTCAATACTATGAACAAAATAAAATACAAATTGGTCTATACAATTTGGTTCACTAAAGGGACAAAATAATAAATGATTTCATACTATGGGGATCCATTACATTGGGGAGGGTATGAACAATATATCTCAATAAGCATATATTTAAATATTTTCGGAACATTTAACTATACACACTGCACAATAACTATGAGCAAAAATTTTAATTCACAAGTTAAGTAAATGGACATTCTCATGAATTTACAAAAAGACTAAGATTTTAATTTTAATGTACACAAATTCAATTATGTTATGAACATTCATTTACTACAAGGACTATTCTAGGGTCTAAGAGACAGCTTTACTTGTAAAAGTTGCCTTAAATAAGTAATCTAAACATCTCAAGGTGTAAAAAGCGATTCGTCATCTAGTAAAGGGGGTAGTTCTGTGCCTACGAAAAGCCTCAGGTACAAAATACATAGTAAACATGAAAATAAAAGGCACAAACATTTAACCTATCGTTACCAAAGGCACAATACACCAAAATTCATACATTAATATTTACAATACTACCAAATGAAATAGTCACGTTATTTTTATGTGTATAATGCCTAACTAAACAAATATATTATGATTATTATCATTAATTTGCTGCCAAACTCTTTCCTTACATATTTTGTAGGTAGCTAATCAGTATGTTAGCACGATGGGTGCTGTCCAATTCCTAGGTTTAAAAATCAGTTGTTACATTGCTCCTTACCAAATCATCAGTAAGTAACAACAAAATGACACGATTATCAAAACTAACTACCATCTGAAATATAGTATTGAAACACTGTGCTACACATTTGATATTAACCGCTTGAATGCACCGATATGAGACATAATAGAAAATACATTGTCTCACGTGGATCCACGTTTAGACACACGACGGGTTAAAAAAGGAGCATACAAATCTGCCCAATCACATAATTCCATTTAAAAAATTGACCAATCAACACGCATTTTAAGGTGCAGTTACGTCGCGTTTCCATACTATATTTACAGTTCCTCTTTACTCTAATTTCATTCCTCAGACGTTCTAAAAATTGAATCCTTCACTCCATCTGTTCTTTAATTGAGCCCCAAAGTTATTTTAGTCTCTTCCTGGCAGTGTTAAATTCAATACAAATTCTTGCCTGAAAGGTTGTAAGTAAACTGTAAACATCATCTTCATGGGGCAATTTCGATATTTCTTAACAATTTTGATATTTATAAGATTTTTATGACCACTCCAAGACCTAATGATATCAGTATTTTGATGTTGAGTTGTTTTAAAGAGAAAGTTCAATACCATTAGTGCACATTGGAGGGTTCACATAAAAGAGAACTTATAAGTCTCCGTGCAGGATCAGAAAGATTTTTGAAGGAATTTTTGTGCTTAGAATTTTAACTTAGATAAGGTACACAATACAATGAGGTGAAGTGAGAATAGAACAAGTTATTTTAAACACGATTACTACTACAAGCTCATGACATTATTACATAGACGCATTGACATTTTATCATTTATTTATTTTACAATTTCATTTTATTTTTTCCCATTTAGCTATCTAAACACGTAACCTAATTATAGGCACATTTATTTATTCTAATAGTAATTTATTTAATTTGAGAAATAATTTTGTTCAGGGAGAAGGCAGTGGGTACGAATTTAATGTACTTCAACATTATTGTCAGGACTACAAATTATTGCAAAATAATACTGGCGCGGTGTAATTGGCTAACATATAAATAATTAAAAGAGTACCTAAAATAATTATAATAAAAAAACTGGTATTTTGTTCAAAAAACATTGAACACAAATAAATCAGTCATAACTGACGTTGGGTCAGTTTTGTATGCTGCTAAATAATACTTAAAAATAAAATACAATTCATCATAATTGTGACAAAATAGAATACATTAAAAGAAATCATGACACAAAATAATTTATCTAACACTAAGAAAACCTTAACAATTGATTTGTGCATACGAATTAGAATATTAGTACTAAATAAAACTAAAACCTACGTTGACTAGGATATAAAACTAATGCTATGTGACACTTAAAAATAGTTTGTACATAGTATTGTAAATAAATTACAAATATTATGGCATTAGACTGCTTGATAAGGTACTATGTATCATTTGAAGTAGGAGAAAGGACTTTCGAAAGACATTTCAAAGACAGAGCCTTTAGCCAAACACCACTTTAGCGCTTGTCTACAGAGAGAGAGTAGAAAACTAAATGTATGTGGATGACACTGGCAAGTGTCAAAATTTACGTCAATTCCACATAATTTGGTTTTTTAATCTACATGTAGACAAGCGCTAAATGGCATTTGGCTACAGCTGCTGGACACATTGTGTAAGTAAGTAGTTAGGTTAGCACCTACGCTAATGGTTTTCGTTCAGGCGGGCAGGCCGCAAACTTAATTTTTTAAACATGGCCATACACTAGGATATTTACCTGTGTCATGGTTAAATTTTATAAACACACTAATTCATCATAGCTTTTTTGATATCACAGTTTTCTAAAAAGAAATACTGCAATACGATTTGTCTACGAGAATTATCTATGCTTCAAATGCTTCTCTAAAGTCCATTCTCAGTTCAAAATAAGGTTCGATTCTATTAATATTCATAATGCTTTGTAAATTATTCAGATAGAGAATACAAATGACTAAGTGCTTAGGTAATTGCATAAGACTCGTTTATATTCAAACTTTCGTATGACATACTATAATAATTATTATGTTTTCGTCTTACCGTCGCGCTTCTATGCTGGAATGCTGCTCATAAATATGAGCCTCTAGCATGACTTGAAACTAGACGAGTCAAACAGTTACGTGAGTAAACCAAAAACATAATAATTAATGCATAAGACTTGTTTTTGTGTTGGTACAGTAAGCAAACTTGTGCGTAATATTGAAGGAACATTATTCATTGAATAACGAATTAAATAACAGATTTATGAAACAACAAACTACTAAATAAGCGTTAACTTTCCCGTTTCAAATAATACATACTTCATATTTTCATTGTACAACTGGTAGACACCTGCATAACAAAATACCCCAATTAGTCAATAGAATTTAAACCTTATCATTTTCAAATAAAGTTTAAAATCTATTTGGCTAAGGGTTGTTTGATGTGCTGGGGTCTATACATACATTTTTAAAGGGCCAATATAAACTTCTTTAACAGATACTCTTTGCTGTTATACTACAAGCTCTTTGACTGTCTACACAGGCCCTTATGTCTACCCAGAGAGATACTACACAAATATTTTTATATACATTACTATAAATTGATATTACATTAATTTAATATGTTATAAAAGCGAAAAGTAACGCATAAATACCTGTAGTTTAGTTTAAAGAGTCGATATAAAATAAATTCCTTCATTGCGTAGTTTACTAGTTGAAAATGATGAGATATGAAAGTACTTATATGTGTCTATTCCTTGGTTAGAACCTTGGACCACAATAAAATGACACTTAATTTATGCTTAAAATTATGACCGATGTTTACTAAACGAAGTTTGAGCAAGACTGGGCAAGATTTTATTAAACAAGCGCCTTATGTGAATCACACAGCAAAATTACTTATTAAAACTTCTTGCTAAGAAATTTTGAATAGGCTCTTAGAATTTTGGGATTTTTTAACATGAACCAAAATCGATAGTTATTATGTAGGGTCATATATTTTAAACATATACAATGGTGAACTAAGACTACGGATGTTCGTTCAAACAGTCGATGCAAGTTAAAACGTGGGCAAACACAACCTATGTCACAAAAGCACCAAAAACTAAATCATGTGCGCTTGTTTTGATTTTTTTGATCAACACATTCTGTGCATCATGGGGCTAAATACATACTTACAACTAATATGTGATGATACATTCACATTTATGACGTCATCGCCATTATACAACATTCCATTCTATTCCTTCGACGTTTAAGTCGATTTTTGTGTGCGAAAGAAGAAAGATCAATTTATATGAGTCAAAAGTTTCCGTATTATTAGTTTTGGAGTTTTTAGTAGATTAATTAAGTTTTCTTTGTCTATTATTGAAGTGGTTACTGAAAAAAATCTCAGTAAATAAATGCATCGGTGGAATGCTCTAGAAACATCTAGTTGCCTACTATTCGCAAGCCAATTTGCTATCGAAAGAGCTGAGTGCAATACCGAACGCCTGTAAAGCACAGAGCGGATATCGGAAATCCATAGTGAAGACATCTTCGGATATCCGTCCAAATTGCATCACGACGTAATCTGGTTCTGAATCATGGACAATTTGGAAGTTTTTCACACTTGCCTGAGTCACCCTTCCGTGGAAGTTCAGCACGTAGGATTGGGTTTCATCGTTCCAAACTGGAGTTTTGTTATGAAGGACTACTATGTCATCCAAGGTCTGACTCTTGAGTCTTTCCAGAAGGGTCTCGCTGTCATCTTGCGGTGCGATGGTGACGCGTTGGCGGTCCGGCGTCATTCCTGGAAGGATGACTGTCATCTTTCTTGGACCTTTGAAGCCAAGCACGTTGGTATCCTGGAATTTAATGGTGATTTATGTTATGTACTTTTTTTACTTTGTTACACATTACAGTAAGTCAGAGATGGCATCCGATGTTTACTACGATTGTGTGAAGCGTACACGGAACTCATAGATCTGAGACAATGTGTAGTTTATAAGTCACCCGAATACTTGTCCCTCATTGGTTCAAAGATCGAATTGAACTCGACCCTATTCTTGCCCCTCGTCGCGGAGAACCTAAAGGGTTACCGGGGCTTTGGCTCGACGTGCAGGAAGTTTAGTCAGTGCGAGTCTGACACTCTCTCCCGCCTCACCCAGGCGGGAGTAGTCATTCGATGATTTTACCCCTTAAAAAAAATTCTTGCCCCTCATTGGTCGAGATTATTCTCATAACCAATGACAGGTCCAACCGTAAACGAGTTCACTTCGCACTTGGATCTTTCGAATTGATAGTTATAGAACACTAGCTTTTACCCGCGGCTTCGCTCGCGTCACAAAAGGATAAAAGTAGCCTATACCAATACACACAGCGCCATCTATACCAATTCTTTTGTTTTCCCTCGGGAATACCAAAATTTTCCGGGATAAAAGTACCCTATTATTTAATCCGGACTTCTAATTTTACGTCTGCAAAAATTCAAAGCAATCGGTTTAGAAGTTACAGTGTGAAACCGGAACAAACAAACAAACTCACTTTCCCATTTATAATAGTAAGGATAGCTGAATCGGAAGTCGAATTTACGCTTCGGGCAGCAGCCATTTATCAAGCTACTGCACGGCAACCTGTCTTTAAATGAAGGAAGGCGTGACTAAACGGCAGTTTGTTTGTACGAATACGAATCAACTGTTATTTATTACGTTCAGCTGTTTGTCTATTTGTCAAGGTCGGTCTATGAATAAGTGACCATAGATAGCATTCTTAAGGTAAAGCCGATCGATTTTAGTTAGTGGACATTGTGATATTTAATATGGTCGTTAAAGGGATAGTCAGTTATAACTTTATAAGTCATCATCATCATCAACAGCCTATAAATGCCTACTGCTGAGCAAAGCCTCTTCTCTCTATTCTTTTCTCAAGTTATAAGTAGAGAGAAGGAATCGTCTTAAGAGGCAAACGATGACTATCACTTTAAAAACCTTAATTTAGGACTAAAATATCTGGTAACTTAAAAATAGTAATCTATGGTATCTATCGTCTCGTTATATAGAATAGAATCAGGCGTTACTTTGTGGGGATCCATGCTACATTAACATATTTTTTTTGCACTGCCTGTGACCGTGAACCGGGTTGCCCTTATGGAATCACCACACCCGGTAGGCCTCGACCTACCACTATGTTTGCAGTAAGTGCCGCTACGTTAGCGGCCCTGGGAGGTCCCAGGGCTACTTCTTCGAGTAGCGCGCGTGGAACACTTCGCTAATGCCTACTCTCGCCTATATAGCGGACGTCTGACTCCCCCAGTCAGTCGCCCGCAGACACTAACATCTCTGTTGCATGAGCATTTATCTGCGGGCGGAAGGGCGGTGCTGTATACCGCACGGTGCCAATTCATTCCTTTGGCGGAATAAAAACTAAATATTTTCCCAGTTGTTAGTGTACCGTCGCGTTCTAAATTTAGAATCCTACGGAGAAAAACGATCTAGAGACTCTATAGTTTAATAAATCAATTTGTTTCAAATCAATCGGTTGGTGCGAAATCTTAGTTCGATCCACAGATTGTTGTTCCGGGTCTAGATGCCATGTGTATGTGAACTTGGTATGTTTGCAACGTTTTTTTAAACGGAATAAAAAAATTAAAAAGATTTTATTCAATTATTATTCAAGTTCAATTATGTCTGACGAATTTAACACCTATCCTTTAAACATAAGTGCTTAATATATTAATACATCACCACTGCATACGATATGTCGTTACATTACATCCTAAGAACGTGATACGAGTTATAATGCGCATTAGAATATGATGTGGATCGATTAGTATAATTATAACTTCGTAGCATACAAGTTGTAGGTGTGTATGTATGTATGTCGTAGTAGGTGGTCTGTCGCATAAAGAGCTCGTACACAAAACTGCGATGCGACGTCGCATCGCAAAAATGTGCGAGCTCCCTTTACGCATCGCAAAAACTTGCGAATTGATTCGCATCGCTCATCAAAATCTTATCTTCCCAAAATCTTTTTTTCATCTTTTTCCATGTAAACCAATAATTCCAATAACTTTTTCCATGTAAACCAATAATTCCAATAACAAAAGTGCACACTTCTTTTTACGATCCATGTCACGATTTAGTTTTCAATTTAAAATACGTTCAGTACGGTTGACGGTCGTCGAAGGAATGGTCACCCTGGGAGATGCTTTGTCGCCCGAAATCGCATCGCAACAATTTGCACCGTAATTTTTTGCATTGCGAATTCGCATCGCATTCGTATCGCAGTTTTGTGTACGAGCACGAGCCCAAAGTTAGTTGGACTGTCTGTCGAGCGTTCTCTAATAAATGTTCGATTCTAGACCAAAGTATTTATTAGAACACTTTATTGGTAGCTATGATTTACCCGTCGAGCGTCCGCGTTCCTTATGATCCAACGGGTCCACACGTGACATTTGGAGAAAGAAAAAAAAAATCATTTATTTGGCCATTGGCACACGAAAACAAGGATCATTACAATAGAAATAAAAATAACAGTCAAAATAAAAACAAAACATTAATAATCCTTACTCCTTACTAATATTATAAATCTGAAAGTGAGTTTGTTTGTTTGTTTGTTTGTTCCACCTTCACGCCGTAACTACTACACCGATTGCTTTGAAATTTTGCAGACGTAAAGTGAGAAGTCCAGATTAAATAATAGGGTACTTTTTATCCCGGAAAAATGTGATATTCCCGAGGGAAAACAAAAATATTAGTATAGATGGCGCTGTGTGTATTCCTGTAGATGGCGCTTTGTGCCATCTAAAACAATTCAACGAATTACCTACTAATTGGAAATTTCACGCTTTAATCTATAGCGCTTATTTGGTGTTAATCTACACTTATTCAGTGCGCTTTTCGACTCATTTATTTGCTATTTTTTATGTAAAAATACTTAAAAAACACAACGTGGTAACGTTGTGTAGTAGTTACGCTACTTGGCGATAGATGGCGCTGAGTGTTTATAAAACAGGGTAGCGTTGTGCTTTTAAAGTACTTTTATCGCTTTTAAATTTTGGTTCCTACCATTTTACATTGAATTGTGTATTTTATAGATTTTAGGTTGTTAAAGGTACATGAAATTGGTGTCTATGTAGTAGTTACGCTATTTTTTAAGTATTTTTCGCTTTTAAATTTTGGTTCTAACCATTTTACATTAAATTGTGTATTTTATAGATTTTAGGTTGTTAAAGGTACATGAAATTGGTGTCTATGTAGTAGTTACGCTATTTTTTAAGTATTTTTCGCTTTTAAATTTTGGTTCTAACCATTTTACATTAAATTGCGTATTTTATAGATTTTAGGTTGTTAAAGGTACACAAAATTGGTGACTATGTAGTAGTTACGCTACTTGGCGATAGATGGCGCTGAGTGTTTATTATTATATATTCAACGGGGTAACGTTGTTTTTTAAGTATTTTTATCGGTTTTAAATTTTGATTCCTACCATTTTACATTGAATTGGGTATTTTATAGATTTTAGGTTGTTAAAGGTACACGAAATTGGTGTCTATGTGGTAGTTACGCTACTTGGCGATAGATGGCGCTGAGCGTTTATAAAACGGAATAGCGTTGTGTTTTTTAAGTATTCTTCGCTTTTAAATTTTGGTTCCAACCATTTTACATTAAGTTGCGTATTTTATAGATTTTAGATTGTTAAAGGTGCACGAAACCATAGTGGCAACAATACTCAACAATTAGCAAATATATTGTACGCTGTTGTTTCAACGCTCGATAGATGGCGTTAGGATCGAGTTAGATGGCGCTATGGTTTCGTTACCGGCGAAAGTATAGGTTCCGAGCTTCCGTATCAACTATATTTTAGGGTACACATCTAGCGCTTATATTGATTATTATTTGTTCGCTTTGTAGGTTTGATTAGTCGAGTGTTATTTTTTCTAGCTAGATATTTAAAGTACTATATAGTAATTTGTTTCGTCGTTCTAAGACGCTTTGTTCATTGTTTACGTTGATCTTGATTGATACAGTAGCTATATTAGTTAGGTTAGATTAGTGAAGTGGTTTATTTTCTAAGTAGATGTCTAAAGTAGTTAGGTTTTCGATAATAAAACGTATAATATAGTTTACCACTCAGTTTTGGTTTAGTATTGCAATTATAACCCTTATAGAATATAGAAGTTTTTTAAATTAAAATGGGAGGAGGTATTTGTGGTAATGCGAAAATAACTTCTTCTGTTCTTTCACGCGGCTGAATCAATTTTGGTATAAAGGTAGTTTGAGTCCTGGAAAAGCAAGGCTTTACCGCGGCAGAACTTCTCATTCCCACGGAAAAATCTAAAACGCGCGTTATAACCGAATTCCACGCAAGCGAACAGCTGTTTGTTTGTTTGCCTGTCTTAAACGGCAAAACGGAGGTACTTAACGTGATTTTTCAACTGAAGGTAGTTGAAGGGATGGGTTGTCACATAGGCTACGTTTTATCTTTTTGTGACGCGAGCGAAGCCGCGGGTAAAAGCTAGTAGATTTTATAAATGAGAATAAAAATGAAAATAAAAAAATTAATTAGTCTCTCAGTTAGGTAATGAAAAAATATTAGATATTAATTTTTTAATTTTGACGTATAAGAAAACAATACTTGGATAAAACAAATCAAAGTTTAGGAGTGGGAGGTAGCTACGTCATTTTAGAGTATAAATCGTACTCGAAAGTGACGGCATGAGATATTTCAAATCAATATATCTTTGAAACTATTCGTTTCCGTAAGAAAATATAAAATACGTGTATAATGTTTTTAAATAATGTACCAGACGGAAAATAAAGTAAAAATTAGTCATCTACCCTATTAATATTATACCCTTAATCCAAAATAGGTTAAGTATATTATACATACACACTTACACACACATACTCAAAATTTCTAACACCTACTTATCACCTATGGCTAACATAGCAACGACACAGTCAAAACATGTCAACAAAGCGAATACGAACGTATATCTAAAAGAGCGTAAACTGAAACAGTGACGTCATTCCTGTGAATAATTTGCTAGGATAACAGACAGGCCAAACCGCAACTCCTTGACAAACAAACAAACAAGCAAGCACGATAGGTATCTAAGTACTGGTAAATGGACTTTATTTTGTATTAAATGTACTTTATTTTGTATTTCGCAAGTACTTGTGTTACTGCTTATGTTTACACCAAAACAATTCCCACGTCACAAAGTTGTTTTGACGCGTAATTATTGTTATTCGTTAAGATTAACTCCTTATAGAGATGTAAATAAGTGTGAGTCAAATGCTTGTATTATGAATCTCATGAGTTTCATTCACAACTTGAATTAAATTCTCACGTATGTTTTACAAAAAATGACTTGACAACGAAAGGAGAAACTTATAAAGTAATATGCCTACTTAAGATAATACGGCTGTGGACTTTGTTTCTTTGTTTAGTTAGATGTCATCTCCGGAACTAGAGGTTCAATTTTATCCTAGGAGATTAATTAGCAAGTGCGACCAAAGAATGAATTAAACAAACTCACATAACATGACATAACATCATGCCATGTAATAGGGGGTGAGCCTATTGCCATATACTGGGCACATTTCCAGACTCCGTGCTACGACTGACATAAAAAAAAACCAGTAATACTTTGCCCGATCCGGGAACCGAACCTGAAAAGGCAGTTGCCCGGCAGTCGCACTTACGACCACTCGGCCAACGAGGCAGTTACACAAAGTCTTCAGTTTTATAACACACTAGTGACCCGCCCCGGCTTCGCGCGGGTGCAATATGCGTGTATTATACATATAAACCTTCCTTAAGAATCACTATATCTATTAAAAAAACCGCATCAAAATCCGTTGCGTAGTTTTAAAGATCTAAGCATGCATAGGGACAGACAGACGGCGGATAGATTTGTTTTATACTATGTAGTGAGTAGTAATAGTAATTAGTACATATTATAGAATTAGATAAAGTTATAAAACTACTTACATAAACAACAGCAGCCAATTCGTGCCTGGTATGAGCATGGTCATGCTTCCTCCACGCCTTGCCATTGTCGTACACTGTGAACGCAGTACCGAGGAGGTTGGACCGAAGCTTCCCAGCAAAACTGTCTGCCGTGCGAGTCAGCTCAGTAGGATCTGTTGATATCAGGTAGTTCGACGTGGCTGATTTCTTGCGCTTTCGGGCTGTAGAAAAGAAATTATTCAAATTATGTTGATTTTTATAGGACCTACTTATATCAACGTCGATTTATTTTCAATATAAAATAAAAAGTTATATTGGATTCCACTGTAGGAGACAAAATGACCCATCAAAAAGTCTTGTAGCTAATCACTACGGGAACTTTGATTAAAAACATGACAGGGTAGTTATATTTCATTTTAATAATTTGATTTTGTTACAATAAACACTTTTTATTATAATAATAGCTGTGGTGCATTGTTAGCTGGCTCGTTGGCCGAGAGGTCGCAAAAGCGACTGTCGAGCAAGGGGTATCGAATTCGAATCCCGGGTCGGGCAAAGTCCAATGAGTTTAAAAAAAATTCTCAGTGGTAGCACGGAGTCTGGAATTGTGTCTGGTATATGGCAATAGGTTCACCCCCTATTACATGGGACTAATAACATAAATAGTGAAAAGTGGGTGTTACATTGTATAGTAGCATTAAATGCCGTAATGTGCACCTCTGCCTACCCTTTCGGGGATAAAAGGCGTGATGTTATGTATGCTTTGTTAGTTGGTAGATTTCTACTCTATAATCTGTAGATCTCTGGTATATAGTACCAAAACTTATTTTTTAAAAACAAATATTTTTTTAGTGGAGCTTGAGAAAAGATGTATCAAGCAAAGTACTATTGGGTAATCCGACCTTGAAATTATTCATACATTATTACAACACGGTGATTGGAATTGAGGTTAGTGTATGACAATAGGTTCACCCGTAATTACAATAGGGGTAAGTAATAACAACACAAAATGTGGGAACGTCAGTTCACATCTGCTTATCCTTACAAAGAATAAAAGGTCTGCACATTTGTTGCAGTAACTGGGCGAACAGCTGTTTTGCAATGTGTCGTGGGTTCGATCACAATTCACAACACGGATCGATTATATTATTATTTTTTAATCCACAAATTTTTGGTCTATGTTTGTGTGGAATTTTACAACACATGAGAAAGTTATATTTGTTACCGCCGTACTAAAAGACATTTAATGGTTGCTTAACCCAGTCCTCAGCAATTGTTTTCGGAACAAAATCGTTATTCAGCAATAGTTTAACGCTAAAATACTCAAAGGCCACTGAATTTTAAGACGCGATTTAGTATAGTTCTTACACGATCGGGGGGTTTACTCTTGAATCCAATTCCGATCTATCAAAATAAAAAAATACGTATCTAATGATTTAAAATAATCTACCAGACGGACATTAAAATAAAAATTAGTCATCTATCCTATTCTTCCATACTAAAAACTGTCAACTGTCAATTTTATTCTAGAGTTAAGAATTAACTGATGATTGAAAAATTCGGCCTTAAATATCTATGAGTAGTGAGTACGGCAGTTAGTATCAAAGTTTTTAATACAACAAAATCCCAGATAATCTTTCAAAAAGCACGATGTAATTTAGGACACTACATACATACATAACATCACACCTTTTTATCCCCGAAGGGGTAGGCAGAGGTGCACATTTCGGCACTTAATGCCACTGTACAATGTAACACCCACTTTTCACTATTCATGTTATAAGTCCCATGTAATAGGGGGTGAACCTATTGCCATATATCGGGCACATTTCCTGACTCCGTGCTACTACTGAAATTTTTTTAAAACCCAGTAATACTTTGCCCGACGCGGGAATCGAACCCGAGACCCCTTGCCCGGCAGTCGTACTTGCGACCACTCGGCCAACGAGCCAGGCATTTAGGTCACTGTATCGGCTTATTACCACCCACCCCAATCATATCGGATCCGCCATCAAATTACTTAAACTAACAACGTATCTAACGTTTATGGGGCATCCAAATAATTTAGATAATGAACGACTAAGTACGAATATTTAATCAAGAAAATCAATTAACGTGAATAGAAAATTATAACCTATAAGCTACACATGGAAGTGTAGTTTCAGGAAATTATTGATGAACACCACCAGGACCATCAGTGACCTAAATAGATCGACCTTTTAAGAAAAGAAAAATATCTTGTACTTTTGAAGGCATAGAGGACCACAACTGAGAGCTTAGTACAAGTTTGTTTTACGTTATCGAAACGGCGGGAAATCGGCGCTCTGATTGGCCGGTACCATCCAAGGCTTTTTTTTAAGGGGGCAAAATCATCGAATTACTGGTCAGCACACCTAACGCGACACTAGCGCCAACGGTATATAACTACAACTGCAAAACCTCTGGTGCTGCTGATGTGTGGTGGAGGCTACGCTCAGTGGTATTTTTATCATCGAATGACTGCTCCCGCCTGGGTGAGGCGGGAGGGAGTGTCAGACTCTTACTGACTAAAAACCACCCCGTTCCTTCTCCTGCACGTCGAGCCGGAGCCCCGGTTACCCGTTAGGTTCGCCGCGACACCATCCATGGCTACGAGCTAGTATTTACCTACGAAATTTCCAAAAACCCGAGTCTATTTTTATGGGATAAGCCGGCTAACGAGCACACGGATCCCCTGATGATAAATAATGGGCGTCGCCCATGGACACCCAGAACACCAGAAGCGGTACAAGTGCTTTGCACTATTCACACGTGCCACCCGACGAGAAATACCTCTTCGAGAATTACATAGCGCGGTGTTTTGATAATGTACTATGAGTTCGTATGCGCTTTCGAAATTTGCTCTTTGCAATGGTTTTTCTTTTTTGTTTTAAATAAATTTATTTCTTTCGAATACTATTGTATTACCAAGACAGAACCCTTTTACTTCGGGACAATAACACGAAATAGATTTCACGGTGCAAATCATACATAGAACAGATTGTAATTTGAACCGAGAATAACTAGGTAAATAGTAAAACTATTACTCACCGGCAAGCAAAAACACTTTCTTGCCATAATCCTTTTCGAGGTGCAAAAAGTATGTAGGGTAAAGGCCCCTGTCCATGCCCTTCCGATCCCTGGCAATGCGACATTTGTACAGCGTGCCATGTTTAGCTGGTGTTACCACAAACTGTTCCACTGCACCTTCCACTGAACCCTCAATTTCTGGAGCCTGTTTAAGAACAAAACGAAAAAAAAAGATGAAAAACTATTTTTTATTCCACACAAATTGATCATGCTTGTCACACACGTATTAATATCACACACACACACAAACACAATGCTTTTTTCTTTATAGGACTCAAACCCACAACGACCAGTTGTCAATCTAACCATTTTAACCCGCGACATCTGCAGCAGCCGGCGGTTGCCTGGCTACTGCGTCAAACGTATAGGCTAGAAAGAATACTAGACTATAGAATGATGTAATACGTGTGTATTAGATCATTCTTCAAATTTCATATTTATAATATAATTTACTAGCTTTTACCCGCGGCTTCGCTCGCGTCACAAAAGGATAAAAAGTAGCCTGTGACATATACTAATACACACAGCGCCATCTATACCAATACTTTTGTTTTTCCTCGGGAATATCAATTTTTTCCGGGTTAAAAAGTACCCTATTATTTAATCCGGACTTCTAACTTTACGTCTGCAAAAATTCAAAGCAATCGCTTTAGTAGTTACGGCGTGAAAATGGAACAAACAAACTCACTTTCTGATTTATAATATTAGTAAGGATAATTTACAATTATCACAATGGAACAAATCGTGATGCCTCTGGTGTTGCAGGTACTGTACGTAGAGGACAGATGCACCTGTACATTTTAAAATTTCATTGCTTGAACCCGGCAAAAGCGTTAAACAACGCCCCCATAAATATCTAATCTAATAGAAAACGACAAACACTAACTTAAAGGGCATGAAGGTGATCAGGCGGATCTGTCCTTTTTGTACTTAGGTTACGGTGACCTCTTATCATAAGACGGCCCGTAAAACAGTACACTGATAGTATTAACCATTAAAAAATATAAATGTCTCCTGCAATACTAGTGTAGGTGACAAAGGCGTATTAAACCTAGAGAACGCTCTAGGCAAGTACCTCATTGATGCCCCTAATGTTTTTGGCGCCACCGTCACTCTATGGGCAGTTGGGCACGCGCTCTGCAACCTAACGCCCTAGGCACATGCCTAGTTCGTCATTATGAGTATTACGGATGAAAAAAAACCCAACCTTTGAAGCAAACTTTGGCGCCTGCGCTTTATCTTTCTTTTTTTTGCTTTTGGTTTTACCCCACTTCTGGTAAACCTGGTTAAAAGTTGAAGCAAAACAAAAATAAATACATAAAATAAAAATGATGGACTAGATCACAAAATAAAATAAAATGACCAAATTAAAAAAAAAATGGAATATGGTAAAATGAAATGACTGGAAAATATGGGTTAAATGAAAAAGTATGGGTTAAAATTTAAAAAAAAACTTATACAATATAAATAAAATGAACAAAATAAAAATAAATCATAACTTAACTATTATTACTTAGATCCAACTACCTAGTTACATTTCAAGAGCGCCAGCATTTTCTAAGCTCTAAATAAAACACTGCATATTTTTTTTGATAGTCTTACCTGTGTGGGTGAACTGTCCCTTCGCGGCTTATCGTGTAGCGGCGCGACAGCTGCGTCGGCGCACACATCGTCGGTACTAGCGTCCCGTCCCACGCTACATACTGGGACGCTCTCTTCATCTTCCTCACCGCTACCATCACCTTCACCAACCGTCAGGACTTCGATCTGATTGCCTAGCTCTGCGAAAATTTGTATTTGAAGTATGTTCTAGAAGTTTCAAATCTATCCTATAACGTTGGAGAATTTACGTACACAAATACATCTATTAAACAAAATGTTGGTTTTATTAAGTAGTATAAGAAATTTTATAGAAGTATTCAAAGTGAACCAAAACTTAATGTTGGAATTTCGTGATTTATTTAGTCACTGTTTGAAGTGTCAATTTAATTTTAGATGTATTTAAAATAGAGTTTAATGTCACTAAACACTGTCCAATAATGGTGCAATCACCCTACCCATAAAGTACAATTTTCTTGTGTTCTTTGTGTGGATTTCAAGAAACAAATTTGCGTTATTGTATAATTCCACGTGTAGTCTACGTAGCATCGTCAATGCATTACAAGACAAGTGTTTATATGTAGCACTTAAGTGCTAAAATGTTTCTTATTAATAAATATAATGTAGACAAATTAATCACACTTCAATTCCCTACTTTATGATCTCAGATGTAAGATTGAAAACTGATTTATCAAAGTTTGGAATTCTAGGTATTGTATTGACTGTTTTAATTACATAATCTTGAGTATTGTATTATTTTATTTAATATCCATTGACAATGGATTGGAGAGACATAAAGAGAATTATCTCTTGATGACAGCATAGTACAATTATGTAAAGTGCTAATAAAAGCTATTGTTAGTTAATTATAATCAATGTTACAATTTATCAAATTGTGATAATTGAGCAGTCTCCAGTTCGATTCTTGAGCTGATAAAGCATTGTGCATATATTTGTAGATATTATTGAATTTTTTACAGCAGATATGTGAATAATTTAATCGAAACAATGTGCATATATCCAAAAACATTTTAGGTGCAATGCAAACCAATGTTTTGTAAAAAAACATTTGTAGTAAAAAGTAAAATTTTCTTTATAATTTACAACAACAATAATTTTAATTTAAGAATATTGGTTGGTTATAAATATACAAAAACAAAACATAGATACGCAAATCCACATATAAAACCTCCTTTTTCAGAAAAAAAAATAAAGTTAATCCTTAGAACAATATTTGAATAAAACAATGGTAGTAGTTTCATAGTAAAACCAGATAGGTAGTTTACAAGTTATGAATGAATAACATGTTTTCCTGTACCATGGTTTCAATAACAAACTTATTCATGCTATGATTCACCATATCTACAGTACAAGGTTGTACTATACAATTGTTGATCCTTGAGAACATAATATGTTTGCAAAAATTCTGTATTATTTTGTATTTATTATAATATATTGTTCTGATATTCTTTGTTAAAGAACAATTTCTTTTGTATTTTTTCTTTCAATAGATTATTACATATTTAAATGTTTTGTATTGATTACAAGTTAAATCAGTTAGGTAATATTTATTAATATTATGTTTATAATTATCAAAATTAGACAAAGAAAGTTGTATTTGTTTATTTTATAAAACCGTCACAAAACTAAATTTAATATAAACCGGTAACCAGTGTCATGGATAGACAAATAACTTATGTAGTATTAGTATTTAGTATTATGAAAAACGTTACAGGTACTAACAGCCCCTTGCTTATTTTTTTTTATTTATTTATCACAATGGTAAGAATTTTATAATCTAAGCCCCACAAAACCGTTGCAATGGTTTGACTGTGGGGTCGAGTAGCTAGACATTACAATTAAAAGTATTATGTAGTTTTAATAACTTATTTAAAAGAAATGATATGAATAGTTATGGTTGAGTAGTCATTGGGTGAGGTTTAGTAAAGTTGAGGATTCAGTTAGATACTTTGTTCTATGATGGCACAAGGCCCCGATTTTCAAGCATTAAATGTATGGCAGAATGTAAAGTATACCTAATACAAAAAACTGACACCAATCATGCTAACATAAATAAATGTAGAAAGAGAAGCGAAAGTATCATGTTTCATAAGAAAAAGAAAGCCCAGTTCTACTTACCATCAAAGGTTGATATTCTATTTGTTTGAAGAGGTATAACTTGGTCCGGATTGACTGGCGACATAAGAAATTGCATCGGACCATCATAGCCTGTCATAAAAGGAAAAGAAAAATGCGCATAACGAAAATATACATCAAAAAACCATGCATGAGTAACTAAACATTTAGACATTTGTTAATAACAACGTAAAATTATATTAGCACTCACCATGGAGCTCCCGGGAACGGCTGCCTGATATTGGACGTTTCGCAGACCCTACCCTGAGATCGTTTGCCTGAACCAATCCAGAATTCTGGCGTTTCTGTTTCATCTTCTGTTCCATCATTTGCCGCTAAAATTACAATATTATCTAGAGATACTATCAAAAAAAATACTAATTGGCAAATATTCGTAAAGACGACACGTTAAATCTACAAAATATCCTAATAATAATAGTTAAATATGATTTTAACTAAATTAATTTGAAACAACTTACTTGCTGTTCGATTTTTTGATCCCGCATTGAAGCCATGGTCGTCGTATGCGTTATTTACTTTGTATCTAACTTTATAAATTGCGCACTACAGTTTAGTTGTAAATGTATTAACTTTTATCTCAAAATTCAATACAATAATTGGCATTTTGTAAGCTCATTTTTTGTTTATAAATCATCTTGCCTACCGTTGCCCAGGAAAATAGTGTTGTCAACATAAAAACTTTGGATTTCGTAGAATGCTAGTTTTGAAAAAATCTTTAATAACAAAAGCTAAATAAGTCTCTTTTTAAACGATCAATTTGGATGGTAATAAGAAATTAGAAAAATAAATTATAGTAACTTTCTACACCTAACTATACCCCATGACTACATCAAAAATAAATTTACGGTAGAATTTAAACTTCTCGTCTTGGCAATACCGGTACTAAAGTTTATCTATTTTGGTGTTTACATTTTATTTAAATTTCCCTACTCTCTGGTAGAATAAAATCATTACTGAAGTCAAATAATTTAAATAACAAAATAATAAAAAATAGCAGCCATTAAGACGAGTTACCTTCTAAAATCTTTTATATAAATAAAACGAATTAATTTTAACAAGAGAGGTCCTTTTTTTGACTAGTATCAGACTCTTACTGACTCTTACAAACAGATATTATATCATCTGTGGCTGGTGGATATTTAGAAAAACTACATACAATAACGAAAAAACTGAACGTATATTCCATGTCTTCCGGCCAAAACAAGGTAACCGACATTTTTTGCGAATTCAACTTATATAAAGGGTAATTTAAAAAAAATATAAGACCACATTCTCGTGTGGGGTTATAGAACATATCAATGATACATTTTTGTCGAACAAACTGATAGGCGGTAATAAACGGTTATTAAAATATTAAACGTTTAATTTAATTTATTAAAGACGCCCGCGGTGGCTCGAAAACTAGAAAAAAAAAACGCACTTGACCTAATTTTCTTTTTTTCAATTATCTTATTTAAGTAGGTTATTTACCAGTTCTAATCATCAAATACACAATAATAATATATATAAGTTTGATACAGAAATATGTTTCCCGAACATAAAAATTTACTATGACACTTGTAGTGCACTTTTTATACAAAACATCTACATTACTTGCTTTCATATGAGGTATACAACTTCAACACTGATATAGATATTGAGATTATGGTCTAATTACAAATCAGGCCTACAGAGGATAGGTATATTAGGTTACACGCCGAAAAGAAACGATTCTAACCACATAATTATATAAGCCAATTTCGCAAATACTGTCGCTTACTCTCTTATTATTGTCCGATTGACAAGTACGCCAACTCTTGTACTTGCAAAGTAATTCATTTCTTAGAAATATAACAAGAAAATATAATCATTATTGTGGTGTGGTGAACACGTAATAGTGGTGGTCGGTGTTCGAGTAAAATAATTATATTCATCATTGCGAACTCGGTATTGAGTTAGTTAGGTAACTTAATACCGAGTAAAAGATAGTACACTTTGATAAACTTGATTTTTTGAAATTGTGATCTTCAATCTAATTATCAAAAGTGGATATTATAGCAAATCCCTTTTTCATAGCGGAAGCCTGTTCGTAATATCCAGCAGTTGATTGTCATGTCATGGGCTTTTGACTACCAATGTGATGAGCTTTTAATATTATAAACATTCTATACATTGATCTAATGAAATTATGAACTTACGAAGAATCGTAAGTTATAGAATCTTAAAATAAAGGTGAGGATTTTTGGTACCTACTCTACTTTTTAAAAGATTTTGGTTATGAACACAGTTTGGGATTATTTATCTTAGGTATAGTGCAACACTGGCAGTTTCAATCAATTTCCTGTCATTCTGTCAATGTCTCAGTCTGTCATTTATTTTTCAAGATGGCTCCAAATCGGAGTGTTTTAGGATTTTTGAACTCAAAAACTATTAGTACGGTTTTCACCAATAGTATTGTAAAAACTCCATATCGTTATGTGCATGGATGTAATAATTGTGACAAATTTTTGGGCGGTCCGGCTATTTCCGCAGCTTCCTTAGCACGTAAAAATTGTAAGTTTTACATGCTTTTATTACATCACCGGTTATTATTTATTTCTTGTTCGATAAGTATTAATATAAAGAATACGTTTTTTATTAGATCATCTCAATGAATTGTCCAGTTTATGTTATCAATAATATTCATTTTGACATTCGTGAAACATAACCTCACTTCATATTTCTCAGATAATATCGGTGGCAGACATCGATTTATTCACACGACGAACCATTTGAGTGCTCGAGCTGACTACTACAAGGTCCTCGGTGTCGCTAAGAATGCTTCTTCTAAGGACATAAAGAAGGCATACTACCAGTTGGCCAAGAAGTATCATCCTGATGCGAATAAGTCTGATCCAGAAGCTTCCAAGAAGTTCCAAGAAGTATCTGAAGCTTATGAGGTAAGGGAAACATTACAAAACATATTGTACACTTAAAAATACCATTTATAATTCAAGATTTGTCAATTTATTGTGATAATACCGTTTGAAGGTCTACTTATCATTGGGTCAATAAAGAGTGTTTACAAAAAAACAGTTCTGATATATGTGTATGTATTACAGATACTGTCTGATGAAAACAAGCGCAAACAATATGACACATTTGGCACTACTGCGGATGATATGGGAATGGGCGGTGGGCCTACAGGAGCTGATGGTTTCACCCACCAATGGCAGTACAAGTCCACCATAGACCCAGAAGAGTTGTTCCGGAAGATATTTGGTGATGCTGGCTTCAAAAGTGAGGCTTTCAGTGATTTTGCTGAGTCCAAGTTTGGATTTGGAGCTGCACAAGAGGTACAATATTAATTCGTTAATTTTTAATTTAGATTTATTGTGCAAATACAGTCATACTAAATGAAAAAGCTTTGGTTACTGTTTTGCAATTGCTTTATTATCTATTTCAACTTTCCTCAGAAGTAGCACATGATTAGGAGTTGACCCTGTGTTCTTTAGATAACTTTTACTGTAACCATAACTGACCTCTGCCAGTGTGTAGAATAATTTTTATTTATAAATAAACCTTGCCCACTAGGATTTTCTCCTGTGTTTGTGGGTGCATTTACAAACATACAAGTTCACATACACATGACCTGGAACAAAAAATTGTGGATCACACAAAGTGTTGCTTCATGTGGTAATCGAATCTGCGACACAGCATGGCAGCCTGTTGCATAGCCACTGCTCCATCCGTGCTGCCAAAGTTATAGTTATATCAACTTTGTCAATTATTATTTTAATTTCCTTTCATTGTGACTTTCAGGTTGTAGTGAACCTCCGTTTCACAGAAGCAGCGCGTGGTGTGACCAAAGACATTAATGTGAACGTAGTGGACACATGTACCAAGTGCCAGGGCTCCCGCTGTGAGCCTGGTACTAAAGCCATTAAGTGTACTTACTGCAACGGGACCGGAATGGAGACATTCTCTCGAGGTAGGTTTAATTAAGTTATATTGTTCTAATGCTGGATAGACTATTATTTAGTCCAAGTTACATGATAAAACCCAGGGCTCAATCAGGGCCCAATTGACGGCGGTGCGTGGCCGGCGAAAATTTGAAAGATAATTAAATAAAAATGAAAACACACCTAAAACCAAAGTTGTTAAAATATGATATATTATTAATAGTGCAGTAATTACGTAATTTTGCATGAAATGTTTTCTGTAAGTGTTGGAAAATTGTCAATTTTGTAATTTTGATTTCCATTTTGAAACCGCGTACGTGCGTGACTCGAGCCGCCATCTTGGAAATATGTCGGCAATAACAGTTTTTTTCAATATCTCTTGTTCAGTGCATTTTACGAGAAAAACTTTGGAAACAAAATTATACTAATAACAATTTTCTACAAATTATGTCTAGGCAGCTTCTTTGTAAAATAAGAACGCCAGAGCGCCGCAAAGTACATTTCAATGAGTATTTTGAAGGCAATGAAGGCTAAACGGCGCTTTTTTATAGGTCTATGTAGGCCTAATACTCATGTGATTGTGATACGGACTTTCGAAATTCGGCATGATCTCCTGCCCCTAGCTGTTTCTGTTGATCCAGAAGTCGCGATTTCGTCTTAGGCCATTGATATGTCATAACCGCCGTCAGAAGCTTGGGTATCATTAAAATACAAGCTCCCATAGCTTGGGTATTATCAAATCATTTTCACATCTGCATTTCAGTCTATACAAGTCAAGAGTTAGCTAATAATACTAAATCGTTAGATTCATCATCATCTGCTTATCGCTATTCCACTTTCTACAATTTACATTCATAACTGAGCTTCAAAATGCATCATCATTGGTACTAATTTTTAAATATTTCTAAGATATTTTTTTCTCAGGTCCATTTGTGATGCGCTCCACTTGCCGACACTGCCATGGAACTCGAATGCTAATCAAGTTCCCTTGCGTCGAGTGTGAAGGGAAAGGACAGTCGGTACGTATCTTACTGTACATATCTGAGCTGAGATGAACTGAGGAACATCAAATTTTAATCGCAGAACATACGGCGCGATGCGTCTTGCGTTTGCGATGAGCGGGAAAAACAACCAATCGAGTGGCCGCGTTGACGCACATTCAAAACGCATGATTATTTTTCCGGCTCATCGCAGACGCAAGACGCGTTGTGTTAGTGTGGCCTGCGACTTAAGATTTCTGTTGGCAGCATATGTGCAAAAGTGTTAATAGGTGTTCCACTTTATTGTCTTCTAAGTTGAAGATATCGTGGATAAAATGATAAATGGCACTGTTAAATTTTTTGGGAAATAACAATATTTCATAATACGCGTCTACTAACAAGATTATTTTATATGTAAAAACGACACTTTAAATATTTCACGCCAAGTTCACTAGATGTCGCAAGTGTCATTTCGATTCAAACGAATTTGAATGACTGTAAAATATGTTCTTTCTGAATTACGTCATGTTCCTATGTTAACCTACGATATATTTTAAAATAGTTGAGAATATTATTGAGAAAAGCTCTACTAGTTTCCAACCGTAAAGTGGTTTTGCTTACTCATGAGCAGCGTGCGCGGTCGCGGCGATGTCGCGCAGCTTACTGAGGAAGCAGAACCCCTCTGTGGTTTGAAACTAGTAGAGCTTTTCTCAGTATATTCACGTGAGTAACCCGCGATTTTTGTTTAATTTAGTATGTCTCCCGATAGTTATTATAAAAACAAAAACTTACTATCTGTAATATTTTTATTTTTTAGGTCCAACGCAAGAAAGTGAAAGTGCCAGTGCCGGCTGGAGTAGAAGACGGACAGACAGTCCGTATGGCAGTCGGGAACAACAGTGAGATATTCGTCACCTTCAAGGTGGAGAAATCCAATTACTTCCACAGGGACGGGCCTGATGTACATACTGATTGTACCGTGAGTATTACTCAGATAACAAGTGATAAGATGCATGTTATTATGTAACAACTTCAGTTTAAAAAAATGGCTATACAATTAGGCACTTGCCTTATTCAAAAATAAATTATTTCGATTGCTCAATACAACAAAATGTTAAAAAATAATCACACTTTCGTTAATTGATTTTATGATCAACTTAATTTTAGTAATTTTTCAGCAAATTTTTAAGAAATAAGTATGTTGTTTGATGCTAAAAAAAGTGTCGTCATAAAAAACTGTCGTTTTCGACAGTTGGATAAAAGTATTGAATTTGAATAGTTGGCAAGTACCCAATTGCACATTTGCACGATTGTTAGAATAACATAGACATGTTTAATAAAGATCGAAATAAGAATAATCGATCATCTCTGGATTAATTTTGGATTTTACATCGAATCGAAAATCGATCTCAACCCAGAGCATTAAATTGAGATTGGTTATAAGGTTATAAAATAACACAGTACTTACAGTCATAACAGTCAAAATTTAAGGTCAGTTCGTTATCTATATAAATGAAAATGAATTTCCGTTCGTTAGTCTCGCTAAAATTCGAGAACGGCTGAACCGAAATGGCTAATTTTGGTCTTAAAATGTTCGTGAAAGTCTAGGTAAGGTTTAAAAGGACAAGAAAAAAAATGTTTGAGATACCACGAAGCGTGCAGAGTCAGTTAGTATTTTAATAATATTTTGGTGACATTACAACTTTACTGTATTGTTTGCAGATATCCGTGGCCCAAGCCTTGTTAGGTGGCACAGTCAGAATACAAGGACTATATGAAGACCATACTTTGCAGGTTCGTACTTTCATCAGGTTAAGTCCGGGGGGGGGGGGGGGCATTAGAAAGTTAAGTATGGGAGAGAGCCATGCTTTGGCACGAATAGGCCGGTTCGACCGGAGTGATACCACGGCAACGCAACGCTTACGTTGTGTTTCGTCGTGTGAGTGAGATTACCGAAGGCCCAATTACCCTCCCCTCTCCCAATCTCCCCAATCCCTGAATCCCCAACGATCCTCGAACTCCTAATCCCCAAAAGGCCGATAACGCACTTGTAACGCCTCTGGTGTTCCAGGTGTCCATGGGCGACGCCGATTGCTTGCCATCAGGTGATCCATCTGCTCGTTTACCCGGCTTATGCCATAAAAAAAAGAATGATAACCTTTTTTAAATGTTTTTTCTTTAGTTAACTTGACAAAGATAACAGTTAAATATTTGTATTTCCAGATAATGCCATGCACATCTTCACACACCACCATCAGACTGTCACGGAAGGGTATGAAGAGAGTGAGCCAACATGGTTATGGTGATCACTATGTGCATATCAAAATACAAGTTAGTAAATAATAAAGTCAAGGATTCACTAGCGGACAAATATACTGCGATACGTGTCGCCAGCGACGTTGGGTTAAGTAGGGCGACGTTGCCGGACTTGCATGCCTGGCAATATCAACGTCGCAGTGGACATAAGTCGCGCGTTGTCCACGTATATACCTGGTGTCATCGGCTGGCTTCTTCCGACATGTCGGCGATACATGTCTTGGGACATTTGTGCCTAGTGTATATTAGTGTTTAAGGACACATTTTACAACTTGAAATTCTTCTTTGGCCAATGAATATTGCATAATAAAGATCTCGATTTTCGCCTTTCGTGAAGTCAGCTTAAACTATATTACAATTATTACTCACGCATTTTTAAACCTGAAGTGAATAATAATTACTTCTAAATTATTTGTTCTATTCTGTAAATTGATTTCAAATATAATATGATATGGTTAACTAGTATTTGACGGCATTTTTGTCTACAGGTACCAAAATCGTTGTCGAGCAAACAGAAGGCGCTTATGTACGCGTACGCAGAGCTAGAAGAGGATACTCCCGGACAAATACACGGCGTCTCCCTCGACAGAGATGGTAAGAAATAACTGAGAAGCTTGACTACGAGAAATACTTAAGTATAAGTGTAGAGTTATGTATAGAAAACTGCTCTTTATTGATGTTAAGATTGTGCGAAAGCCAGTAGGAAATGGGCTTATTTACTTTTATAAATGTTTACACAAATATGTGCCATAATTCATCTGCTATAACGCTCCAAATTCGGTAGAAGATGAAACTAGAAATGTATAGAAAAAAATACCAACTTTATTTTACAGAAAAGGCAAAAACTAGCAGTGATACAGGGGCCGGTAAATCGAAAAGTTCAGGAACGTTTACGGGGGGTGAACACATTCACCAAGCGAATCGCGATACCGACGATCGTGAGCGAAATAATTCGAAAACGTGGACGTTTCTAGAGAGTTTGGGGGATGCCTATAAGAGTAATAAAATGTATTTTGTGAGTGGTTTCGTAATGGCGGTGATTGTCAGTATGTATGTGATGATGCATGATCCCTTGGACCGGTTTGGTGCTAATAAGTACGTGACCACGTTAGACAACTTGCCGACTAAGGATATCGATACGAATTATGGATATCAGAGAGCGATTAAACGTGAAAGGGAACAACATCCTGAACTTTATCAGGATTTGAAGGAGGCATAATGTGTGATGAATTTGAATGTGATATTTGGATGGATAGATACTTCTTTTGCCTATGATTGGCTATGCAATCTTCTCCTAGCCAATCACATTTGTTGATTCTAAACGATATACGAGAATAATAGATTCATTACAGTAATTGCAAGTTAGTTCGAAATATCAATAATCTTTAGAAAAGCTTTGTTTTTTTTTAAGATAAAGTTTTTAATTTTGCTTTGCGAGCTACACTTAATATTAAACCTTATAACGCAGTACTTACATTTACAGTAGTCATTTTGCAAAGTAATTTTAAAGAAAGTCCAATATAAATTGAGCTATTAATTTGTTTAATGTATTTATACATTGTTCTAATGTGATAAGCATACCAATGTAGACGTTAATTAAATATGTTCACAAAACAATATATTTAATGTATATCTACATAATTGTATAGGTATTTATTGGAGAGATTTTTATGAAAGAGTTGTGCTTGGTTTGAAAGGGCTTAGTCATAATGGTTATAGTATGATGGTCATACATTAGTTTCAATTATTGTAAATATTTATAGTCTGTTTCATGAATACACGGAAATTTCAATTAATATGTTGTTTCATTTCGAACCTTTGACCCTTTACCATCATGCTATAATCAAAATTCTTAAACATAGGCAGTATAAGAAATTGCCAAACCCAACTATGAGAGAATTTAAAATTGTCTAAAAACTTGAACTGTTTGGGTACTAGTTTATTTATATCTTCTACATACTTAAAAAAAGCTTGGCATTTTTGTAGTCTAAAGTAGATCTTTGTAATCATATACAAAATCAAAGAGCCTTTTCTTCAAACTTATTGAGCTATGGAGATGGAGACGCAAGTCTTTGAAGTAATATTGTGACTGAAACCAAGGCATAGAGTTAGATAGAATACTACAAAGTTTAAAAATATTAATTAGAATTTAGATACCTTGAGAAAACAAATAGCTGTGTGGTAGTGAGATGAGCCAGTGATCAGTGGTGATGTTATAACCCATTTTCTATCACCCCGGTTTCTTGGAATATCGTAAGAACCGACTAACGGATGACATTTGACAGAGACCAGCCAACAGTACCTTCTGATAAACCTTACACTATTCAACTGTGATCTCTGACCTGTTTAACAAGGAGATAGTGGGAACTCTCTTATTAGGCCGATAAGTAAGAAGATAAATATGGGGGTTATTAGGAAAGTTTTCCGGGAGTTTTAGGTCGACATAAATTGTAGAAAATTGTGTGTAATTTAATTTCGTAGTTAACGTTTTTCTCTTAAAATGCATAGAAAAAGAGATATTGTAAAAACAAATGTTTTTAGCCGCCATTTTTTCAAGATGGCATCGCGAGCGGCGCGTGTACAAAGGTGCAAAATGGAAATAAAAAAACGCACATTACTACAAAATTGTCGATTTTCAAAACTCTCGGAAAACATTCCAGATAGAACTACCAAATTACTGAACTATATGTAGAGGAGGCCCAGTCTAGTTGTTTGTCATCCAATATTGGATGAATTACTGCAGACGTTAATTATTTTTCAGGAGCTATACGAGAGAAAGAGAAATAATGAATAAACAAAACTATTACTTCTTGTAGGTAATATCATACAAATGATAATTCTATATAGGTACAGTAATATCATTAGTTTGAGTTTGTATTTATAATTTTCGTGAGACATAATAAATTAATTACTTGGTTTTTTTGTCTTACACACGTAACTGACGAGGAACTCGACTAGTTTTAAGTTATTCTAGAGGTTTATATTCATAAGCGGCGACTGTCGCGCTGCTACTCTTAAAGTTCCTCGAGTATTTTACTAGTTCTAGTAAATTAGTTGAGTTTCTCTTCTAATGTCGGAATACACAAACGCTACTCAATTTTAAGTCGCGCTTAAGTATAGTTCTGTCTCCACAAATTCTTTGTAAAATGACAGAGATGGCACGATATTTGAGCACGACTTAAAATTGAGTAACGTTTCAGTATTCTATAAGGCTCTAGACAGAGAGACTGCAATTGAACTGCAAACCAAACGTGCAGTCCGATTGCAGTCCTATTGCAGTCGTGTCAACTGCGTTGAGACTGCATCCGAACTGAAGTTTGCAGTTGGATTGCCCTTGTAATGCGGTTCGTCTGTTTAAAACCTAGCAGTTACGTGAATAAGCCGAAATATAATATAACAAGTCATTAGTTTGTTGATTTTGTGGTTGTTCCCTTATTTAATTAATCGATAATCCTAGTTAGTTAATGTTTTAATGGAGTTATTGTATACCTAAATATAGCTTGAAATATATAAGTTCGTTATACAAAACAAATAACATTCCTAGATTTTGAGAGCAGGATTTATTATGTTTTGTGTTTCTGTAAATAAAAAATATGTCATTGTATTGTTTTGGTTTACCATCGTTGATCCTTGTTTATCGTAGATATAGGCTGTTGTCAATAGAATTATAATATTTGACGAAAGGTCCCACTAAACGCTTGACATGTCTTAATAATCAATATTCCAAAACCCATTTTACGATCATAAAAATACAATTCATTCTTGTGTGTTTTCCAATTTCATCCCTTTGATATCTGAAATGTAACTTTATCCCCATCACTTAAGGTATATTTTTATACAATTCCAGGTAAAAAAGTGTCGATATCCGAACCTCTTGACATGGTGGATGCTGTGAAGGAAGCTCTTAAGGAAAAGAAATCTATTGAAGGTGTTGCTACTGAGGAAGAAGTGGTTGAGGAATCTAAGAGAAGCAAGGCGTAGATAGCTGTGCCTATTTAGTACTATATTTGTGCCGATTTGATGGTGAAAGCATAATTATGTAGTTTACTTTGGTCTTTACCTATGAAATTGACGGTTTTTGCCCTTTTTATAATATCTATCGTGATATAAAAATTGAGGTTTACTCACGTGTGTATACTGAGGGAATTTATTAGGTTCGAGCCACGGAGGGGCTCTTCCTCATGAGCAGTGTGCGCGGTTGCCGTGATGTCGCGCAGCTTACTGTTTTTTGTTAGTGTAATATTTATGGGAAATTGTCCATTATGCAGCTTAAGTAAATGTTGTGTTGTTGATACTCAAATTTGAGTATCAAGTGGTGTCCTTTTGACTGCCGACGGAAAACAATTGAAGGCCAATCTTCCGCAAGCGCTGGTCGCCTATGCTCCCTTTGGGATTAACACTCTTGAAATTAAAAAAAAATGTCAAATTGCAGCTTTACGAATGAAATGAAAAAAAATACTGTCAATATTTTTTTAATCTGTCACTCGTTAGGACTCCTTTTAATCTGTATTTTATTTTTTATTTTTTTATACCACGACTTTGGCAATAAAGCATAGGGCCCACCTCATTGTAAGTGGTTACCGTGGCCTATGAACGCTTGCTACAGTTCTTAATGTTCTAGATGGCTGATACAAAGGTCGCTTCGTTTTCAATAAACATACTAGCAAATAACTATCCTATCACCATCAAAGGCGGCAAAACCCCATAGCAAAATGTTCCAAAAGTTAGATAATAAAATTTCCCGCTTCTCTGTCAGAGTTTATTCTATATTTGTTTATGTATTTGAATTGAAATTACCAAATGTAAGTACTCAACACACATTTGTATGTTTTACTTTTTCTACTGTGATACAATGTTGAATGGAAACATTTCGCGCTACTGTTAAAATAAAATAAAGATATTTCAATGTCTGAAAATTCACGTTTTAATGGATATTTTACAACGTAATGTAATCAAAGAAGCTGTACATAGCCGTTGACTAGTGTGTAGGAAATGGTAGGTAAATAAAATATAACAAATTATTTATTGTGTTGTTTTATTTTCATAGATATATAGACAAACGCTGACTGCGATAACAGAACTTCACAGGGACATGATATTACAAGAAAAATCCTTTTTGTGCTTACTTAATAGTGCCGTTGACGCGTTGTCTTGTTTGTTCATTTACAGTTCATTAGTAACATCTCATCATCATAACTTGGGATTAGCAAATAGTATCATTGGTCAGCACACCTAACGCGAAACTAGCGCCAACGGAATCTAGCCACAACTGGAAAGCCTCTGGTGTTACTGGTGTACAGAGGCTACGCTCAGTGGTGTAACTTGCCAGTTGTCATTCGGGGTAGATTCATTGGATAAGCCCTCTTCCCAATATAAAAAGAATAGTTCAGATGAGTATCTCTGAACTGGGGCTGACATTTTGCTGAGTTACGCTGAACGGTCATCATCAGGACTTCTCAATCTTTATTATTACAGTTTGTTATATTAAAAATACCTACGTACTTATTTATCTACCTCCTTTATTTACTTTCAAAGAGCCTGTACTTCTCAGTCATGCAAGTCAATGCGGCGCCGCTGTGACAGCGTAACATTGCCAGCCCGCAAGAGAGCAGCAACATCGCTCCTTCCACGTAGCACCCGTATAGAATACGAACGTGGCCGTTTACCTGTTCAGACATTGGTTTTAGGATTAGGTATTAATTTAGTTTTGATTTTGGACTAAGTTTTATTGTACTTATGGACGACTGTCTCGTTGGCCAAGTGTTCGCAAGTGTGATTACTGGGCATGGGGTCTCGGGTTCGATTCCTGAGAAAATTATTACTGGGTTTAAAAAAAATCTCAGTAGTAGCACCACTTCAGGTTTCCTATCAATCATCTTTACCCCATAAATACAACACGTAAGAATAATTACAACTGGCAAAACAATATCGGATTATTACTTAATTACATAGCTTTAAATTCTAACGCGTTTGTGTTAAAAGCATTACCATACACCATACACTTACGTGTTCCAATCCGCCGCTAGTGGTGAACTCTAGCGGGAACAATGCGATGTCTAGCGAAGTTTTACCGCGGGCCAGACCGAATACCGCGGCACCAAATATATAATATAGTATTACCATAAGCGGCACGCTACGACACGCTACAAACACGCCGAGATAATGCTGCAACAGTTAATAGTATTTTAATGAATAATAACCTAAATAAATTTTTTGATAAAATCGCGCAAAGGTTCAGAACGCGAAGTTTGCACTTACCATTATTTTCCGACGAATAGTACTTCTATTTGGTGTCTTCATAACTTCAGAGTTTCGACTGCAGTTTGGGCTTTCTGAAATTATCATGTTATTCAGATTAAAATAATAGATACGTGTAGTAAGACCTTAGAACTTATCAGCTATAATAATATTTAAAATCTTATGAGAGAAAGAAAATAAACGATTTTTTGTAACATCAAGGGAGATACCAAGAACGGAAGTAATTACACCTGGGCTGTAAGCTGAGCTAGATTGAAAAGGAGCTATGTTTTATGATACTTAATAATACATCGACCTGCATTATAAATGTTGTATCCTGACTACGTTGGTTGAGTAGCCGTAAGAGCGATTGCTGCTAGGGTCTCGGGTCTGATACCTGAGCCAGTAATTAAAAAAATCTCGGTGTACTTTTTATTTCCGTTTGGAAACCTCGAAACTCCAATTTTTCTAGGACATTTATAGAATGAGGAATGTGGTTAAAAATAGCCAGCGCCATACGAAAAACACTTTTCCTCAGTAGCAGTCTTATGTCTACATGTTCGTGTCAAGTGTTGGTATTGAGATCGCAAAGTTATAACGGTGTCTGTCTTCCGATAAAATCAGAAATAGTTGCTGATTATTTGTGACTAAGGAACGTTGGCTGTATATCATTTAACAAAAAAAGGTATTTCTTCATTAAAAAAATGCAAAGGTACCTAATAGGGACAGGGGGTGGGAGAACCATGCTAAACTTAGTATAAAAAATGATAGCAAACTACGGAATCGCTTGAAAACTGCTGTAATTATCGTGAAGAGCGGCGCGGACTGAAAGTGCTGGTAATTTCCTTAATGCTTTGTTTAATTACTACTGAACTGGCTCGTCGTGTTGCATTAAGCGATTTTGTTGTAGGTACTTACATAGGAATATGTACACGTGTCCGGTTGTTGAATGTGGGTATGTATGTGTCAGGTGTATCTTTGTAGCGTAGCGGCTAGCAACGGAACGGGGTGATTTTAGTCAGTAAGAGTCTGACACTCCCTTTCGCCTGGCCCAGGCGGGAGAAAGTCATTCGATAATTTACCCATTAAAAAAAGCGTAGCGTGCAATTCCGGTAAAATACCATATTTTTTAAGGGGGTAAAATCATCCAATGCCGTCTTCCGTCTTGGGTGAGGGAGTGCCACTCTTACTGACTAAAAATGATCCCGTTGCTACTCCTGCTTTGAATCGAAGCTACGATAACTCGTTAGGTTGTCTGCAGTTACGGATCGGGCATTAGCCCTGCTGGGCCCTATCTGTGCTGGTCTAGTAGCTCTTAAACGCGCGCGCCCAGATAACTGGTAGTAATTGGGTTTATCAAAAATGAAATGTTTCTTCTTTATAACAGTAAATAGGTACCTACGAGTACTAAGTGTTTTTTTATTCTAATTTATTTTACGGGTTTTTAAACAATAGGTTACGTCAGCTCCATCACTGAGTAGATAATTATTAATTAGGTAGGAACGCCCATTCCCCGAAACTTTTCGCTTTTTAACGCCACGTTAATTAGCGTTCCAACTTTATTTGATCAGATACCTACAATAAATGTTACTGTTGTATGTACCTGTTTTCCTACCTACATCTATATATCAATTTATTATTCTTAGATGTTTCCCTACCTTTGACTGTAAGGTTCACTTAAGATTTAAAGAAGACATAGAAGCTATTGTCTCAGTCAGTTTCTAATATAATTAGAAAAGCTTGTTATTGAAGTCTGGGAGTAAAGGTCTTTAAAAATAATTGGCACATTAAAAGCCGTACTTCAAACGCACAGGTTGACATTTAGGCATAATTTATTATTATGGCTCCTATACGCAATGTTTTTACGTTTGCATATTTCACCGCCCCGGCATCATGTTCCTGTGTACTTTTTTATAAGCAGGTCTTATGATTCATCATCATAGGCTTCGACGTGGCTTGCTCGTCATAATAGGTATAAGTATAGTCGCCCCGTCGTCATAGCCTATACGTAGGCATTCACAAAACTCCATCAGCCTAGGATACCAGCTGCGGTGAACTCAGATTTGCCACTTAAACTGTGTAGAAGCCTTTACGCAAATTAACGCATTGATTGCATTAAAAAAAATAAAAAGAGGCAAAATCTTTCAAAATCTAATTTAAAGTTAATGAAAACAAAAAATTTAATTAATGAATTAAATTCTTGCTCTAGTGAATTAGAACATTTATTAATTGGACACAGCTCTGCGAAAAGAGCTTTTGGAAAGAGAAACGTTTCTAAATTAGATGTTCCAAAAATATGAATCCGCGCAATCTGAAATTAATAAACATAGGCATTGTGATGATTGAGGTAGTTAAACTAGTAGACCTAGTTACTTATAGTGCTGAGAGATATGAGTCTCTAGCAAATAACCTTTCCTGTAGCTATACCCATAATCTGCACGGGATGCCATCGAAATATTTTGTAATCTTTCGAAGGCATTCGACTGTGTTGATCACGAGACACTATTGCTGAAGCTGGAACACTACGGCATTCGGAGTGTATCGCTAAATCTATTAATGTCATACCTTCAGGATAGGCAACTTGAAGTACAAGTAAACAAAGTAAACTCATAGGGATAGGGTGCTAGCTTATCCATAGGCGTGCCGCAGGGCTCAATACTAGGTCCATTTTTATTTTTAGCATATGTCGGTTACACAAAAACGTAAGGGCTATAATTTCAAAATTAGAGCTCGGGGGGTAGCGGGGCGTGGTATATGCGAGATGAAGATATTAAGCTTTATCATGAAACGTCGTAAACTCCTAGAACGTTACGCTTGGCCATGGGGGTGCAATAATTGTTGAACACGTAGCATCGTGACGGCTATATATATCTGCATGTCGGTCCTATTCATCGATCGTGACCTAAGCTCAGCCAGGTATATTATAGATTAGTACCAGTAAGTGGCAAGTACTGGCGGAAGCGGTGTCGTGTTAGCTTATTTAACGCCAATGATACCAACAAGTTTTACGTAATAATTTTAATTTTAAAGAGCCATACAAAAATATCACAATGTCTATTGGACTACTTAAAAACCTTATCACTGGCACGGTACCAAACTTAAAAATCTCCACCAATACCACGACATTGACAGTGACTATCAGTTCAAATGCTTTGACTAGAGGACTGACCGACAGACGGACCTGTTTTAATATTTAGTTTTGACCTTCAAAAGTCCCTTTCCTGGTGTAATTGAAATAAATGATTTTCACTTTGACTTTAAACAGTTATTAAGTAAGGTTTTCTCTCTTTCGGGTTCGATTCCCGGGTCGGGCAAAGTATTACTGGGTTTTTAAATTTTCTTAGTAGTAGCACGGAGTCTGGAATTGTGCCCGGTATATGGCAATAGGTTCACCCTCTATTACATGGGACTCATAACATAAATAGTGAAAAGTGGGTGTTACATTGTACAATGGTATAATGTGCACCTCTGCCTACCCCTTCGGGGATAAAAGGCGTGATGTTATGTTATGATGTTATGTTTTCTCTCTCTTTTATCTATTTTATCGTGAACACATTTAATTAGATAGGTTAGGTATAATTTGCCTATATGGCGATCATACAAACATCCACCTAAATCAGCCATAACACACACATAGTCAGCAGCCTAATTTCCGACCATTCTGTTTTTGTTTTCTCTGACGAAAACAACCAATTCACTTCGCGTAAACAAACATAGTCTGCAATGAATAAACGGCGCGAGGAACACGTATACAGGGTGATTAAATATTTACCTCCAACCGATATTCGAGTACATTAGCGAATGCTACGCGTTCGTATGCTTATAATGAGTACCTATAGACCTATATATCGAGTGGCCGATGTCGACTCATGGCAAACAACTGATAACGCTACAATTCATTGCACAAAGGGGAATATTTTCAACGCGGAGAGCGTTCTTGTTTTTCGTTAAAGTGTTTAATTTTTGGAACCGGTTTTTATTCGAATGTGAACGTACTGCTATAAAGTCCTGTAACATATAAGTGTTCCTTCCTGATACTACAGCCATTATAATTATTATCTATGTACAATAAGAAATCTTGACTATCCATAGACAGTAGTATCACATCGTCACTAAGGCTTTCTGAGGCGACCATACTTAGAGAACTAATTACAATGCTTTCATTATATTTCGCTAGGTCTGGAGTAAGTCAGGGTAGCAACTTGGGGCCATTGGCATTCATTATAATGATCAACGATTTGCCAGAGGTAGTCAAGCATGCACTTTGTTTGTTGTTTGCTGATGACCTCAAGTTGCTGCTGGAAATTAAAGATGTATCAGATTCTGAACGTCTTCAAGAAGATATACAAAGAGTAGTAGATTGGAGCCAGAAGAATAGACTACATTTTAATGTGGAAAAATGCTCCATGATGAGTTTTACTCGTGCAAAAGCACCAATACAATATGAGTACAAGGTGGAGTCGGTACCAATGAAGCGGGCTGCTCAGGTTCGAGATCTCGGAGTCATAATGACACCAGACTTAACCTTTCGGGGACATATTGTTAAGGTGTGTAAAAAGGCGTATAGGAACTTGGGGTTTGTACTGAGGCAGACACAGGGGTTCAATAGGATATCAACGCTAAAGGTACTTTATGATGCTTTAGTCAGAAGTCACCTTGAACATAGTGCGGTAATCTGGGATCCACATGAAACGAAGTACAGTGTCATGTTAGAGAGAGTTCAGAACAAGTTCACAAGGCACTTGTACTTCAAGCTGTATGGTGTGTACCCTTTTTACCCTTTAATGTACCCGACATTGTTTGTACTGGGCATGGTGGGGTATAGTGAGCTGAGAGTGCGCAGAGAATTTACGTTAGCTGCTTACGTGGTGAAGTTATTACGAGGTGTGGCACATAACCCGGGAGTGCTGCGCCACCTGCAGCTGTGTGTGCCCGACCGATACGTGTGGAGGCGACATCGTCCGCCACTGCTCGCTGTACCGGTGGCCAGGACCAATCTTCTGGCCAAGACCCCGCTCACACGAGCCATTTGCACGGTAAATGAGGTTCATGGCCGCATTGACATATTTTCGTGCAATACGAGTGATCTAGTGAGAGTATTAATTAATATAAGTGCATATAATAATACGTTGCAATAGAATTACCAAACTCAAAATTGTTTACTCTCTCAAAAAAAGTCTCGAAGTTATTTCTTTGTTTTGTACTGTAATAATAGTTTATGTTAGTAAGTAGATACTGAATAGGTGTTAAGTAAAATATCGTTTATGATTCATTGTGAGTATTTAATTTTAAGTGTTATATATAAGAATTTGGTTTTTATGATTCTGTTACTCAGTAGTTAGAAATGTTAAACAGTTAAATTTGTATAGGAAACTTTATTGTATTAGTATATAGGTATGTATAAGTGTTAAGTTTTTATTTTAATTATAATTAGATAATAAGTAATTACTAAAAGATGTGGTAAGACTGATGGCTACACTATCGTATTGGAATGTATCTGTAATGGTAGTAGTTAGTGCATTAAATAAATAAATAAATAAATAAATAAATATAACAGCAAGCGTTTTGAAGCCAAGTCCAAATTCTACGGTTTAGTAATATAACAAGTGTCCGGTCTCCCAACAGTCCACAGATCAACATCAGATACACCCTGATGTATGGCCACAGCTTTATACCTACTGTCCATAAGACTAGGACATAGGACATTTAATACCGAAGGGCAAGTTATTGTGTTTCGTAACAGTTACATCTTCTTTGTTCTCCATTTATTTAGCAATACATTTATTGAGACTAGGAGAATATCTGGCTTGTGAAAAGTGAGTGAGTCTGGTCTAGGTATATTTTAGGATAACATACTTTTTTTCAAGGAGGGAAAATCGTCGAACGACTGCTCCCGCCTGGGTGAGGCGGGAGGGACTCAGACTGTCAGACTCTTACTGACTAAAAACCACCCCGTTCCTTCTTTTGCACGTCCAGCCGGAGCCCCGGTAACCCGTTAGGCTCTCCGCGACAGGATAACATAGGAAGTACATAGGTACTGAACTTCATATTAACAAAAATGCCTTGTTTAATTAAGTTACAAATGTCCCTACTTTTAGTCGAGTCAAGTTTAAATTAATTATACTAAAGATTTTAAAGCAAATTAAAAACATTGTTTTGTGGAATAAAATGGCGATCAATGTTGTACTTTGTAACATTTTCTGTATTGTACAAGCTGTGAGATGGGATATTTAGCCACATAATGGAAACTGTCCGGTTCGAGGCATCTCTGATAGCTTTATGCTTGCTCCACAGTGTATGGTAGACAGTTACGGAAGTTTATGAATTGGTTTTGTTTAAATCATCGACCACAGACAGAAAGATTGAAACCACAAGATAGATCAAGAGCAGCATTACAAATGCATTGCGTGCGTACCTTTTAGGCATTAAGAATTTGAGGATTTTTGGTATTTCAGGGATTGGGGAGATTGTGCCTCCGGTAACCTCACTCACACGACGAAACACAACGCAAGCGTTGCTTCACGTCAGTTTCCTATGACGCCGTGGTATCATTCCGGTCGAGTCGGCCCATTCGGGACGAAGCATGGCTCTCTCACTCATGACAGTCCATTGAAGGTGACAAAGCAAGCAGTGACTATAAAAATGTTGCTTATTGATAGGAAACGATTATATGATAATGATATGAAAGCAGAGAAATTGTGATGTGTATTGCTCTGTTCCCAAGTAACTCCTAACTTTTTTTTATTTTTATGAGATAAGCTGGTAAACGAGCAGACGGATCACTTGATGGTAAGCAATCGGCGTCGCCCATGGACACCTGGAACGCTAGAGGCGTTTCAAGTGCGTTACGGGCCTTTTGGGGATTAGGAGTTTAAGGATTATTGGAGATTCAGGGATTGGAGAAATTGGGGAATGGGGAGGGGGAGTAATTGGGCATTCGGTAACCTTATTCATATGACGAAACATAACGCAAGCGTTGCTTCACGTCAGTTTTCTGTGAGGCCGTGGTATCACTCCAATCAAGCCGGCCCATTCGTGACGAAGCATGTCTCTCCCACACTTTAACTCAAAATAAGGAAATGAACAAAATCATACCTGTGCTATTGTGAGAAGTAGTCCTCTCAATGGAAAAAGGACGTTGACCTCTGGTCTTGTGTCTTAGCTTCTTAAGGTAAGTTTCTGCATTTATGACGAGGCACAAACTGGCGTTCAACACTGGAACAAGAAACATTGTTGTAGAGACTTTATTACAAAACGATAAGGTTGAAAATAGTTTAAACATTTAAGATCTGTATTATATACAAACCTGTGACCCATAATAAAGAATTTTGATTTTTCGTAGTTGTAGTCGGGTCTGCACTGATTGGCTGATTTTTTGTAACAATTATTTCTATTACAAGATTTACACAATGCCATTATTATCTACGTTAAAGAAATACATGAAGAATGTATCAATTCTTAAAAACGAGTTAGATCTTAAACATTTAATATTAAACAGCTCTCTAATTACCTATCAAGAAACAGTATCTAAATTTTATTATAAGTGAAATTCGTTCCATCTAATCTCGTGGGATTATCTGGTTGAAAACACCCAGGTGTCCTTTCTCGGATCTCAAACTATCATTGTATTGAATTTCATTCAAATAAATTGAATGCTGTGCGTGAACTTGGCTAATTTTGGTATTGAATTGTTCGTGGAAGTCCAGGGACGGTTCAAAACACGAGAAAAAATGTTTGAGTTGGTCCGAAGCTTGCCGTGTCAGCTAGTTATAAGTAAAAACACCTCTTAACTAGTATTGAATTAAGTATCAAGGAACTTACTTAGGTAAAGATGGGTCGGCACTGCAAAAATGGCGTATATTAGCGCGGAGCTCCTTCCCCACGTAGATTGCGGCACCGGAGCACCAAACCCTGTTATTAGCATACTTTATTATTATTTGAATAATTACGAACGTGCTTAGATAAGAGGTGGTGCTTCGGTTCTTTAGTTTTGTTTTTAGTTTAGTTAGTTAGTTAGTTTAATTCTGGTTTTGTTAGACTTCAAACTTGCTGTGTAATTATTGTGATACAGAAACATTAGCAGGGCTGGTGCCAGATCCGGGCATGGGGTCCAGCAGGGTCAATCCGCTCCTGCCGACAACCTAATCGCGGGTTACCGGGGCTTCGGCTCGAAGCAGGACTTTTCCACCTCAAAAAAGGGCTACTTTAGTCAGTTAGAGTCAGACATTCTTCAATAAAACTCTTCAATTCTTCACCTAGTACGGGAAGAGCAATTGGGTGTTTTTCTCTCTTTAAAAAGGTGGATTGGCTGATGGAAGAAGATATTAGTTCTTCCTCATCAGTCGAGCGGTTGGTCGTAAGGATCAAGAAGAAGGTGAAGAAGTTTTGCGGTTAACTAAAAAAGTTAGAACATTTAGTGGATAAGACAACATTGAGAGAGACAATTAAGAAGAAATTAAGGCTAAGAAATGAAATAAAGTTTTCCATCTTGAACATTTTAATACTACAACTAATTGTTGGAATTGTCCTAAGAGTGGCTGATGCCTGATAAGGAGCCGCTGAAGGCCTAACGGGTTGCTGGAGCTCCGGCTTGAAGAGCAGGAGTAAGAACGGGGTGGTTTTTAGACAGTAAGAGTCTGACACTCTCTTTCGCCTGAGCCAAGGCAGGAGAAGTCATTAAATGATTTTCCTCGCGCCAGAAAAAACCCTAAGAGGTATCATACGTACCTAAAGCGGTCATCACGTAGATAGTGAAGAGGAAAGTTCCAGAAAGGTCCCAGAACTGTCCCGTCTGTAGACGAGCTCCTCGGCTGACGGCATACGTGGTGAGGTGTCTCACATCCTGGATCCGACGTTCTATTGCAGTCCTCCATCTTGGAGATAGAGGAGTTATCTAAAAATACATAAACGATGGTCGTGGCGGCCCGGAGGCTTAAGATGCCTGTGCTTCTCATGCATGAGAGCGCAGGTTTAAAACCTTTCAACGGCAAGTACCAATGTGACTTTTTCCGAGATAAATGTACTTACTAAGATTATTGTTTGTACGTTACACCACTGATAAACGTTGAAAGAAAACATCGTGAGGAATCCTGGGCCTATAATTTCTAATTATAGATTTGAAATCGCAATGAGCAAGCGTGGTGACTTTGCTCAAACATTGTCCATGCAAGAAGAGGCCTGTGGTCAGCAGTAGCCTCTTATAGTCTGTTGATGATGATGATGATGATGATGATGATGAAAACAAAAGTATAAGAACTGCAAGGTTCAAATACAAAGCGTCATACCATACACAAGAAGTACCTATAATACTGCTGGGTACGTTAGCAATGTGGTGACTTGTAGTTTCCGAACGTAATTCATAAGTTTTAGTTCCATGTCTGCGTCAGATGTGATACAAATTCCACATTTGACGACTGTTTTGTTTAACATATTTATTTATTTATCATTTTATGTACACCATACAGCAGACAATATTACAGAGGACAACACATTAAAGCATGAGGTACATAGGTACTGCATATCCCTTGAGGGATTTCTTCCTGCAGACCTGCGACAGGAAAAGGAATATAAACATGAGACACAGTGATAACTGAACTAATTCGCCATTTGTTTCCAATCGGTTTTGTACTAGGAGTTACAGAACCAACGAGGAATCATAGTAACCATGAATACTGAAAAAGTTTCTCAAGCATTTCCTTAAAAAATGCGTTTTATTAATGCAGTATTTAATTTTCTTAGACTAATATGGTTTGGAACGGTGATCCATCAACATACCTAACTTGTAAACCAAAGCTTATCCTTAAACAAGCCTATTTGTTACTTGAGACCCATTCTATGTATTACCCGAAGCCAATATTACAATAGAGGCGTGTAATAACGACATGGGTAAGCATAAATTGATGGATAACGGATAAATTACATAAATCCGATACCGGCGTAATGGAGGCAGGTTCTGATTAATTGCCTGGACGCCATCTTGCGGCGAACAAATTTAATTCAAGTAAGTACGAGCGGTTTTCTGCGCCATTAGGTGTACTCATTGCCCTGTTTGTTTGGTAAGTTCCACCGATTTTCTATAACGCTGCGTACTCGATATCGTTACACTTCATTGCAATATTAAGAGGGCAGATTGATTAAATTTTGTTTTCGATTTGTCTCTAAGTTAATTATAGATTTTTTTTATGATATAAGCGAGCATATACACGAGCAGACGCATCACCTGATGGTAAGCAATCGGCGTCGCCCATGGACACCTGGAACCCCAGAGGCGTTGCAAGTGCGTTACCGGCCTTTTGGGATTAGGAATTTGAGGATTGTTGGGGATTCAGGGATTGGGGAAGGGCGGAGGGTGGAGGGTAATTGTACCTCCGGTAACCTCGCTCGCACGACGAAACAAAATGCAAGCGTTGTTTCACGTCGGTTTTCTGTGAGGACGTGGTATCCCACCGAAAGCATGGCTCTCCCTCACTTAAAATTCCTGATTCATATTTTAGTAGGTACCTAGATAGTGACATTAAATATACATATGTATTTAGTAGCTTATGTAAGCAGGAAAAGAAAAGAATTTTCTGACTGAGATAATATATTATTGCAGTTATATAAGTTAAATATATAAGTTTAATTATTTCAACAATTGGATATATCAAAAAAGTCCCAAAATAGACCAGCGTAAGTTAGTAGGATATCTAAAAGATGCTGGCTAGCTAACGAAGCTATCCCAAATCTGAGTGTAAAATACAGATTCGATTATTTCTTCGAGTAAATACAGACATGTTGTAGCTGTAGAACCTAGGTCTTATTACTTTTTGTAGCTAATTAAGGTCAGGTCGGTACAATAACATGTTTGTACTACCGATCGTTATGCTGAGAAAATTAGTTCACTTTTTCAATTAATTGTAAAGCTACACATGCAAAACCAATGTACTAATTCTAATCCATGATGATAGTTGGTCTGTACTATCTATGTATATCCGACTGCATATCCGACTGCATTTCTTGTCGTGAGCTTGATCTAATTACTCTTAAAAAACTTTTTTGTACCATGGTATAAAAATGGTATTACGTAGGTACTATTAAAATTAATACTATTAATAAAGTTTCGAAAATTAAATTTTGAATCGAATCAGTACTACATAACATAACATCACGCCTTATGTCCCCGAAGGGGTAGGCAGAGGTGCACATTACGACACTTAACGCCACTGTACAATGCAACACCCACTTATTACTATTTATGTCATGAAACCCATGTAATAGGGGGTGAACCTATTGCCACATACCGGGCACAATACCAGACTCTCTCTACTACTGAGATATTTTTTAAACCCGGTTTTACTTAGCCAGACCCAGGAATCGAACCCGAAACCCCATGCCCGGCAGTCGCACTTGCGACCACTTGGCCATTGAGACAGTTGAAATAGTACTATTAATTAAATTTGTTTGTTTTCATACTTATGTCTACCATAGATCTTGGCTGGCAAGATTAGCAGCTTTGGGAAGTTGAGGCGGCCTAGTCCCGATTCAGAAGTCCCTTTGTAACATCCCAAAGAAGTTCATTTGTAAAAAAATGTTTAGACAGTTGATTTTTTTTTATACTAATATTATAAAGCTGAAGAGTTTGTTTTTTATTTGTTTGTTTGAACGCGCTAATTTCCGAAACTACTGGTCCGATTTGAAAAATTCTTTCTATGTTGGATAGCCCATTTATCGAGGAAGGCTATAGGCTATCATCATAAAATATCACGCTACGATTAATAAGCGTCGAGTAGAGCGAGTGAAACCGCGTGGAAGTAGCTATAATATTATAAACATTCTATCGCCAGCTCTTTGACTACACCCGCGGCATTAAACGATCTGAGACAAAGATATAGTTATTTGTTTTATTTTGGTTCCACGAACAACGTCGACGTGGACGGATCGTTCCACTAATTGCTATGAACTATACTCTCTGTTCCCTAAACCGCCATTATGATACCAAATTGGATTACTTACTGAGAATATCTCGAGTTATAAATGCGAAAGTGAGACTCTTTGTTGTATTTTTGTTATTCTTGTATTGAAAGGGGATTGACTTTTTGTGTGTTTGTTTAGGTAATGAAAACTTTTGTATCTGATTGATGAAAGGGTTTTGCAAATTGTAAACGCGAGTGCTTTGGTTACATTATCCAAGATCTTATAATTTGTAAGTTTGGAATTGGGTAATTGCCAACTAGTCAAATTCAATACTTTTTTCGAACTGTCAAAAAACGACGGTTTTCTACGAATTTTGTCACGTTTTTTTAGCGTCAATCAGCATCATTATTTTTGAAAAAAGGTGCTGAAAAAATACTTAAAATAATTTGGTCATAAAATCAATTAATGAACTTTCATTATTTTTTAATATTTTAAGGTATTGAATAGTCGAAATAATTTATTTTTTGATGAAGGCAACTAACCAATTGACAGCCTGGCTTAGCAAGCGTGGTTATTAAAGCTCAACCCATCTAATCAACCATCAACGAATATTTTGCAAGTACACATCTATAAACTTTTTAAGAGAATTTCAAGCAAATGTCGACAGTAATGAAAACCTACGCCTTTATGAAGTCAGCTACTAAAAAAACAAAAAAAAAATGTTAGTAGGGTTGTCGATAAAAACAGGCCGAGTGTTTGCTAATTAATTTGCGGGTATTTCATTACTGGAAGAGTGTAGCCTTTGTTTTTATGCCAGTCCTGTTTTCTCGCTAGCTTCAGTACACACAGCCTCGAGAATGCAATTAGAAAATTTTATCATTTTATGTCTGAGCTAACCTTTAGTAAATTGAATCGAATATTTTATTTCCAGCTCTGTTGGTATGTTTTTTGTATTTTACCTTTTAGATATTCAGGAGTATCTTTCAAAGGATGCCTCTTTGTTTTATTGTGGAGGTTTAAAGTTAGAAATTTTATTAATTTTTGTTGTGTTTTTAATCTTGTCGGCGTTTTTATGTTGTCGGTTGGCAGTTCACTGATGTTATTTATTGGAATTTAAAATATGTTTTAATAACACTTTTATTTGTATTTTGCAGATCCTATTTCGTTGAGAATGTTGGTCTTTGTAAAAATCTATGTACGAAAAAGTATTTATGCATGTCCAGTTTGTAATATTGTTTGCACGGAGTTATCTAACTGTATACTATTTCTCGGGGGTGCGGTGCCAGAAGACCTCCCCGTGGTGCACCCTGGGTGCGGGCGACAGTCTCCCTAGCGGGGGTGATAGGGTTGGAGTGACTGTCGCCCGCAGCAGACTTCTGGACTGGGCGGGCGAACCCGATAGGGTTCTGGAGGCGGCGGGCTGTGTGCGGAGGCTCATAGCCCGCGCTTCCGAGGGGCGTTTCTCCGCCCGTCTCTCTGGACATAGCAGAGAGCGTGGCGGAGAGGCAAAGGCGGTGCTCGTTGTGCACTCACCCTGCCAGCGAGCAGCATCGGGACACAAGCTGTCCCCGATTGCAGCCGTCGATATCGTAATCCGTAAGGAGGTCACGGTCATGTTTTGTGACTCTGAACGGGACGAGGGTCTTGGCTTGGTCGCCCGGACCGCGAGGAAGATAACCTCTATAAAAAATTCCTCCAATACTAAGTTCTGGTGCGCGGCGAGAGTATGCATGGCTGAGGAGTAGTGTCAGTCGCGAGCGCACCCCCAGCTAGGGGACCAGTGGAACCTCTAGTTGGGAAACAAATGAACACTTACCCAGGTACAGGGGGCACTGCCTGGGTGGACCGAATATTTCCCCCATACTCGTGGGAACTGTATGGAGAAATTAAAATCAAAATCAAAACCACATTCGGAGGAGGAGAGTGCGGGTGAGCTTGGCTCGCCTGCGGTAGCGGGAGAGGGGAGCCCAGGTGGCTCCGGGACTCGTGGTGAGGCGCTGG